GTACAACATGGTGACTTTCATTTTTTAATTGTTGACTGTATGGGGCTGAAACTTGGAAAACTACCAAAACCATCATTCAGAAGATACAAGTATTCATTAACAGTTGTTTACGCAAAATACTTCGGATCCGTTGGTCAGACACGATCATCAACAACCGACCGTGGGAAAGAATAAACCAGATTCCAGTGGAGGAGGAAATCCGAAAGAAATACTGGAGGTTGATAGGACATACACTGAGGAATGCACCCAACAGCGTCACAAGACAAGCCCTCACTTGAAATGCTCAAGGCCAAAGGAAAAGAGAAAGGCCAAGAAACAAATCACTCCGAGTAACGGATAGAGACATGAAAAGAATGAGCAAAAATTTCACATGACTGGAAAGGGAAGCCCATGACAGAGTAAGTTGGAGAACACTGGTTGGCGGCCTATGCTCCACTGGGGGTAACAGGCGTAAGCAAGCAAGCATTATGGTACATAAAATTTACCACTTTCCGATTGTCTTCTCCTTTCTCCAGGTTGCATATTTATGATGCTGATAACTCAGCGAAAGCAAGATAACTACTTATGAACCAAAGTAACAATCAATATAGACAAAATACGTTGCTTTCTTGGACTTTTATCTTTTAATATTTTGACTTTATTTTAATTGACTTTAATATACTAGTAATTAGTTTAACTGAAAGTTATTCGGCAGACTAAAAAGTACAAATCATATACTTAACTCTTATTTGAACAAAAGCCAACCTAATCCGAGACGGTGGAGAAATTTTTTAGCTCAGGTGGAGTATTATGCTGAAGTTTTGTTTTCTGAGGTCAACAGGATAAGCTGCGAGTCATACCTGAAAAAATTCGAATACTTCTACTTCTACCTGATGATGTTGTTCAAAAGAACAATTAAAGCTCCACAACCAAACCATCCAGCTCAGAGAACAAAACTCCAATATAATCAACCCACTGTATGCAAATTAGCTTCTTTGCAGCTTATATTTTAAAGAAAACTGATTACAAACTTGTAACTCGAAAATTGTCACGTACATAAATTAAAACAGGGCTGGATACATTATGTTTTAAACATATTCATTATAGCATATAATATATTCATTACATAAATATATTGATTTTATTTCATTAATTGTTGCAGTAAGTTTGTACTGAAACTATCAGTTGTTACATACTTTCATTCTCGTATTATCATTTTAGTCAGCTGTTGCAAAACATCAAGCTAAATTTTCCAGTAATGATCAACAAGATAGTTTAGAATTTCTTCTGTTCTTACTGGACGGTCTGCATGAAGATCTTAATGAAGTGAGTATAGATCTTTGTTTTATTCATTATTACTATTCAGTTATGTTTAATTTTGAAAGCCTAATTAAAAGTAACAAGTGAGATTATCAAGTTCCTCATAATTTTCTGTTAATTATGAAGGTAGAATCAATTAGGTTTTCAGAAATTGCACACATGGGTGGATAATAAGTAGTTGACTGTAGAAAAATAATCAATCTAACTAAAATCTACTGTTCAGAAGTCTCATTTTCTGCTTCATCTCTCGTAAATTTCTTTCTCTCATAGCGCTGGTGCGAACTGTGCGAAAAGTAAATGATATACATTCGTCTCAGGTCTCACATGCCCCAAAACTAATTGTTTTCACTTTCTTAAATGTCATTAAATGACAAATTTCAACAAATCAGACTTAGGAATCCATTTCTCACCAAATCAAAATTAAAGACATTCAGTCAATACAAAGCCATAAACTTTATTTATAATATGTAGTGAAACTCAAGAGTTTAGGGAAGATTTGTCTATCAACTGGCATTAAAACCACTGTGTACAGTTACCCAACACAAAGTAATCAGATCAACTTGAAAATGCAGTTTCATGGCTGTACATCAAGTACTGTTCCTTTTGGTTACTTTGATATGTAAATTACTAAACATGTTTACTTATCTCAATAGCATTGTATGAGACATAAAAGTTCATTCAAAATCTTATCTTCATTCTTCTTACACTCCTGGAGATTTTATCATTGATGTGCAGTTGTTTAGTAGTTGTTAATCTGTTTGTCTTATTACATTCGATCCTGTATGACATTGAAAATTTCTCGCATAATTCTTACTTTGTATCCAACAGTTTACGGAAAATATCTAATAATCAGTTGTTATGTGATTGTAGATACAATCATTAATTATGAACATTTGCTATAAAAAATTTTGTATTCCAAATCTTATTTTCAATCCCTGCTTAATCTTCAATTGTTTTCTTTCGTTTTCAACGAAATGTTTTTAACTTATTGATGACTCTGTTCCTGAATTTGCCCTTAAAGAATTCCCAACGCCTAACCTTTAGGTTTGCATATCTTGATGATCGAATTGGGGTATACTAACTGAAACACTCGTTGTTTGGAGAACGATAAGACTAAAAGCAGCAAACTCAATAACGGAGGGTGAATTCGTGCTCCTGATTGTACTAATGTGTGACTATAGTATTGTATTTCCCACAGACAACCAGCACAAACAGCGATATAGTTTTCCCACAACGTTAAAAAGGGGTTATGAGCAATCGACCCTAAAAGTAGCAAACTTCACTGTGCTTCATAGATTTCTGTCGGTGGCCGTAAGGCCATTAAAGTACAGAGCGCATTTTTGACAGGCCTCTCGCAATTTATCCCTGTGTACTGCTTCAAACCTTGTAGGTCGTCAAAACCGCCTCTAACCTAGTTTCATAGTGTACGTAACTCATAACTAACAACTGATCTCTAATAGGATTTTCAGCTAGCAAACTATGTGGCAAATGCTTACATTTTTCTTACTGTTATCATCTCTCCACTTTTTATTCAAGGCTCGTTCAGAAAAGAAAAACAATTCAGCGAAGCTTAAATACAACGAATCACTGATCGAATATAATTCTAGTTATGAACAAGCAGCAGCTGTGTGGATTCAACATAAAGATCTCAATAATTCAATCATAGTCTCTTCATTTCAAGTAAGCTTATTGATTTTATTGTTTTCTTACTAACTGCTTTCGCTCTATTTATGAGTAGTTTTACTTTCTCATGCTTTGATGTCTTACTCTAATTCACTCTTTGATGATGGGGACATTTTGATGAATCAAATATTTATTAAGAAAATTAAAGCATCATCTGACTCTAACCTAATCTAAATTAGTTCTTTCAGCTTTGAACTACACATTTTTTTGAGAAACTTCATGTTACGATAGGACTGTTGAAATCAAGGTATATAAAACAAGATTCGAACCTGAATCATTGAGTACTTAAGTTGTTAGGCATCGACTCTAATTTTTTTTTCGATTACTGTGTATATCATTTTGAATTTGGTTACTTGATACTTGTGAGTTCAAGATTGTACTACTAAGATTTATGTCTTGTCTATTACTTTGCAATCAATATATAGACAGACATTCCATACTAACAAATAATCAGTCACATTGACTGTCAAATTTTTAGTTGGTCATGAATCAATGTAAAGTAAAAGTAACTGTATTAGTTTTCTTTTTAACTAATTTGATTATTTGATAAAAAAAAATGTGTTTTAAAATGATAATACCAATAGTCGATTACACTACTGTATTAAAGTTTTCAACACTTTTCACTGAATTGTTAGAATAAGTAAATATAATGAAGTATACACTGAAAGTAATTAATGTAACTCATTAACTAGAAAGTCTATGTATTATAGTATTTTATTAAGGGCTAGTGATACTACTGCTTGGCTGCTTGAACTGAAGTAAGCGAAGCATCATTTGGACCTTAATGCCGAGTGTTCTCTAACCTCAAAGCATTCACTTCATACTTGACTATATTCTTAAAAAATAAGCCGACATTATAAGAAGAGATGGTTGGTAACTAACTGTGGAATCCAGAGGACGCATTTTGTCCAATTTTTAGTACTCATCTCTAGCTGGATGTACCTGCCACCTAGAGTTCATTCTCATTTCGGGACACGAACCCAGTACCATTAGCTTCAAACATCATCGCGTTATCCACTTAGCTACTGAGTCCAGATATGTGCTGCCTTGTGCGATGGGGTGAAGTTTAGTACATTTGTATTAGTTGTTTAAATCTCCCCATTGATGTTTAGGATTACAGTTGATCAGTTACATCCATTTGACGAGTCCCAAACATGATGAAATGTGCGGCCTGCATTTGTGACTTAATAGTTACATAGAAATAGTCCGTACAATATGTACAACCCCCAATTGATACTGATGATTTGCAGTCTTAATTATCAATGATAAGTTTTAACAACCAAACAACCAAATGTATTAATAAATCAATATTGTTATTATTATTATTATTAAGCCCATTAGTCTACATTTCTAAATATACGTTATTTTACTTACTAAATTTGCAATGATTGATAGAGAAATAAATTAGCAGGGGAGAAAACTTTTAATGCAATTTATTATGATTCACAGTAATTAGTAAATGAACTGAGTAAAAAAAACTTAATATAAACTAACCAAAGTTAAACATAAAAATTCATATATTCTTATACAAATTATTTCGATCAAATCCAAAATTGAATGACAAAATCATATGGTGTTTACTTTACTAGCTCCGATTTCATAAGGTTGATTATATTGTAGTGAAGGAGAACACAGGTGAGGGCAACCGAATTGTATTTATCGCAAATTACAGAGTTACTCAGTAAAATAGGAAAACCATATCGTAACTCGTTAATTTGCAAATCTTCAATCCATCATCAATCCATTGTCTGACATTTCACTATTCATGCGTTTCATACAAATTCCATTGTGTTCCCACTCTTCATTTCTTGATCTTCCCTCATCTTCTGCTGCCAGATATTACGTTTACACTCGCGTCATATACTACTTATAAGTAGCGCGCACCACAATATGAATTAAAACAGCTTTGAAAATACGAATATATTGAATAGATTAATTGTCTTTTTTGAAGATATATATAGCTTGTGAATAGTATTCATTAACTAGAGTTCATAATAGATCTAATCTTTTTTCAAAATCTTGTTACATTATAGATTAATCCACTGTACATGATTTTCATTTTATTAGGGACTTCTTCGTTCCACTGTGAAATGTAATAGTTGTCATGCAACTTCTACAACATTTGATGTCCTTATGGTATTATCCTTGCCAATTGAACAAATTAATAAATGTCAATTAACAGTAAGTTTGTTGAATTTTAATACAAAAGCTATGATGATTATTCATCTCGCTAATATGTATGTATACCTAGAGATAAGATAGCAACTTCTTGTTGGTCTTGCTGGTGTACTACATACCATATGAAGTTGTCAAAGATTTGTTTTATTAGGAGCTCTTCAACCTCTTTCAGAAAATCAGGCGTTTGACTGTGATAGTTGTAGCAGATTTTTATAACCATGAAGTCCAGTAGGTTGAGTCAAACTGAAAAACACATTCTAATCTAACGAATAGATACTGGTGACTGACTTTTGCTAGCTTGCGTATGGTGTAGGCGAGATATCCGTCTGTTAGCCAAAAGACGAGTCCACTGTGCAACAGTTCGCTCCGTCCAACTTTTCGGCTGTGAAACATGCCACCCAGGTGGGGAGGATATTTGTAGGTTACTAGCATTGGATCATCTGTGTCTTCGGTGCATTATTCTTATATCCTGGGACCGTTGAGTAGGCAATGCCGGGGGTTTGGAAACGGGTATTAGGTAAGGATGATAGATCGATAGATGAAGTAGTGAAATATCATCAGATGAGGTGTTTGCGACATGTGTTATGTATCTTCAACCAACACCTCGACTGCTCGGACGAGCGATGTTTTGCGGTGTAGGAGTAGGTTGAAAGACGGCTAGAGGCGGCCAAACCAAACCATGGCACAAATCTCTAAATATTAAATCTTTTTCATTATTTTTACTACTCCATTATTAAATCAACTCTTTTACTACTTCTATTGCTGATTTTATGTCATTGTGCTAATATATGACATAGGAATTCGGATCAATTCATATATGTACCAGCTAGTGTGTTGATTATGATTGATAGATATGTATGTAATCCTGTCAACCTATTGATGACAGATGAAAATCTAAAGCATACTCATAACAAATTTTTTTCACTGTCTGATACTAGAAAAAAAAAGTCTGCATTTATTATCAAATTAATTATTTCTCTAAATAAGTTAATCATTCTAAATTTATATACACTAATAAAATTTCTATTATTGATATTAGTTAACAGCAAATTTATTCCTATTGAATTTTATTGATATCAATTTTTTGTGCATTAAAAAATACCCATTAAAATTGATGTATTTAAGTTCTAATTCATACTGTTTATTATTATTATTAATAATTTCTTAAATTATTATTGCATAGGATTGTATTAAATTATTTCTTGAAAAAGAAGAAATGGTCGGTCAATGTCGTTGGCATTGTCCAACATGTAATCTGAGACGTGATGCTTCTAAATGGATAGAATTATGGAAATTACCAACTTATTTAATAATACACTTGAAAAGGTATTCTGAATCGGTTTTCCATATATATATGGTCATTGTGATGATTTGATTTGATTGTGTTTGATCATTAGATTTTCTACTAGATTGATGATTGATGCATTGTAATCAATTAAATTGTAAAATTATGCAATTTCTTATTAACTGACTACATTTGGACCACTGAACCACCATTCAATGATGTTAATGTGTAACTTCGATCATTTCACAGTCTTGCGCAACCTCATTCACTGTCTTCGATGAGCACTGCTTCACACCCGAACAGGATTGAACTCCACTGGTCACAACTTCTCACTAGCACTCGAAGAAACCTGCTGACAGAGCTAGTCACTAGTGAGCACATGGTACTTTGCATTATAGGGTTGTAGAGATTGTTGAGTTACTTTGAAATCATGAATTGATCGATGTTAGACCACCATTATAAACCTGGAGTTACTGGACCAGCTCACTGGCCAGGCGCTTAAGCGTTCGCGTGCAAGATCGAAGGTCCTGGGTTCGAATCATGGGGGTAGCAGGAGTCGTGGATGCGCACTGCTGATGAGTCCCATGCCAAGACAAGAACGGCTATCCAGTGATTTCAAGTTTCTAATGGTGGTCTAACATTGATCTATTCATGATTTCAAAGTAACTCAACAATCTCCACAACCCTATAATGCAAAATATAATAATTATCTTTGAGTGTTTTTCCCTTTATATTTCCATTACTTTAAATCACAAAGCTGGACGAATCACTAATATGCTGATTAAATATTAAGTTTGAATATTACCGTTATTTAATATTCCGACAGTAATCAATTTGTGCTCACGTAGTTTCTGTTGTAATAGAAACTCACCAACCTTAAACAAGATATACACAATAGATGAAATTTGACTAGCAGGCAAATCCGTGGCGCATATTTTCTCAGAGTTGATGTTCACTTTAAGTCTCAAACTCAGTACTATTTCATTCTCAAACGCCATCGCGTTATCCACTTAGCTAAATGAGTCCAGTTAGCTTCTCATTTGTTCAACGAGTATGAGATATAATTCAATTTAAAATGGTTTAGACTACTACTCCTTGTTAGAAAGATTATCGATCTTCCCTCTAGTAATTGAGTACAGTTGTATGAGTAAACGAAAATCACCGATTTTACAGTTTCACATTTCTGGCACATTTTATGATCATAAATGTAATATTGAAAAATAATAATAACTTCACTTTGCAACAATCACGATGTAAGTGAACTAACTCTATATAAATATATACAGATATACGTTTATATATATATATATATATATATATATATATATATATATATATATATATATATATATATATAAGTGCTACCAATAATTGATTTGTATGGTCTCATTATCAAACTAGCATTTTTCTGTTTATAAACAATCGGATTATCTGTAATATACGGTGTTTTAGTAATCAATTAAAAGAAAGATGACCTTTACAGATAACAAAAGAAAAGAATATACTTGAACTGTGTTTTTTGCCTTGTGTATCGAATGGCATAATGTGTTCATATGTGTTCAATTGTCATTATTATTACTTCGTGACTTAGTTGTATATATATATATAATTTTTAAGTGAATCACCTAACTCTGTCTCTCTCATATTCTCTCAATAAATGAGAAAACATTTCATGAGTAACTTAATTATTATCAAAAACATATTCTTGAAATCAATTAATAAAATGTGATTAATTTCAATTTTTTTATTTATTTGTAATTGTTTAATTATACTTAATTGTACATCTGTTAAAATGTCAATCCTATTTTAGATTTCGATATGAACATGGTACTTGGAGAAAACAAACAACCAATGTAGACTTTCCTATTGAAAGTTTAGATATGAGTTCATTTATTGTTGGTCCAAAATTGCATTCCAGTGAATATGCTTTATTTTCTGTTTTGGTAGGTTATTTTACATTTGTCTTATTAATGGTAGTAATGTTACAATTGAGATTCAACACAAATCAGACAATAATATTGAATATGATAGTTTTCATCATAGACATGCCTCAATTAGATAAAGCATATTAAACTGCGAAACTATTCAGTTTCTTTTGCCTAGCATGAGATCCATCTAAAGCAGTCATCCATGACCTTGCCGAGGACTAAACTGAAGACTTTGGAATTTAATGGTGAGCGCATAACCTTTAAACCACGCAACCGACATCCAGTTGTCTACACGTCTAACCTAAATAAATTCCTAATACTGTGACAGAAACTATAAAGTGATAATCAGTATAAAGTTATGGAGTTTGTTGATTTTGAATGAAATTATGAATTGATCAATTTTAGAACAACATTGGAAGTACTGGATGGCCGTTTCGTTGTAGTATGAGATTCCTCAATGGTGCGCATTCATGATCCCTTACGCAGCAATGGAATTGAGCACCCTCGGTCTTCAGCGTGAACACTTAATCTCCAGACCACTTAATCAGTGTCCAACGGTGTTAATATTTGACGTCAGTCAATCTAAAAGATTGCTTGACCATCATCTATTGCCTTCGTCGGGTAACTATCTCACACTTGACACGCTTGGACTCCACTAGTCACAATTTCTCACTAGGACTCCACGAATTCTCTCACAAAGCTATTCTCTAGTGAGCATATGGTAATTATCGATACACGGTTGTGGAGTTCAATAGTAGTTGTAGCAAATTAGTGCGTCTGTTCAGAGAAACAAAAACTTTCTCACAAACCTATAGTAATAACACATTTCGGATGTTAAATCACCTACTTTAAATGTCTGTTAGAAAATTAAATTTCAATGACTGATTAATCAATCAAGTGAAAACAACATCTATTTGTGAAACGTGGTCAGCTTAGTGATCAATGTATTCAACTCTTAGGAAGTAGATCTCAAGATAATATCCTTTTTCACATACTTCGATCTAGACAGGTCGTCAGTAACACTAACTCAAACGCATAAACACTTCCTAGAAGTTGAATGTGTCCTTGGTAAATGTTATAATTTACGGTGTCACAGATCTGTGCGTGGTACGCATCAATCCACCAAACTGACTAATTGCTGAAGAAGGCTAGAGGGGAGGACAAAGTCTATTTGGCTACCAAATAATATAAATAAATACTTATTTGCATATATATATATCCTCCTTAGAAAATGAATCCATTTTTTGATCGATAATATTCATTCGTCCTTTAGGACACACCCGATAGTCATCAAATATCCTTCCTGTCCTGTCACTTCTGATTGGCTCTCTATATTAGCTAATAAGTACCACAAAATGATTTGTCAAAATAATTAAAATGAAAGAAACTCTGCTAACATGTACACATGGCTTTAGATTCAAATCTGTAGATAGAAGTCAAGTACTTTGTTTACACTTCATTTTAAAACTTCATTATTGAAACGTAAACACTTATGCACTGAATATCGGATTGTATGTAAAAGACGCTATATTCATACAATTATTACCGGTTATGTGTATTTCATAGTACATTTTCTTCATGATAACAATTAATTGATTTTTCCTCATTTTTTTTTTTAATTCCACAGAATCATCGTGGTACAATGGAAAGTGGTCATTGTAAGTAAAGTCATATTTACTATTCTTCCCTAGAAACACACCTATTGTTATATGTGTATCTATTACTTATCTAACAAATAAAAATATTATTAGCATGTTACATATGAGAATGCTTAATAAAGTATAAATTTTAACTTATAAATAGGACTATTTTTATTATACCCATTTTTTTGACTACTATCATAGGGAAGTTACTTATTTCTAGCGTAAACTTTTATTATCCATACAAAGTGTGGATTAGTGAGTAAGTATGTTCTTCGTTGACGATTATGCGACAGTTTTATCTAACTGATCTGCGTACATCTTTTTTTTTTCACTGAATGACGTAGAACATTTCATTCTATTTACTTACTTACGCCTGTTACCCCCAATGGAGCATAGGCCGCCCACCAGTTTTCTCCAACCAACTCTTTCCTGGGCTTCTCTCTCCAGTTCTGTCCAATGTTTGTTCATTACTCTCATATCTTTCTCTATTTCTCGGCGTAATGTATCCTTTGGCCTTCCTCTTTTCCTTTTGCCTTGAGGGTTCCACCAGTAGAACCTTCGGGTCTACTGCCGGTCCCAAGCCCGGGTAAAGGAGGAGGGTTGGACATGGGGTTGGCGACCCCATTCCGTCAAAAACTAACTTGCCAAAAAAACGCTAACCAGAAAAAAAATCATTCTATTTAGTTTTAACTAAATTCTGCTTGCTTTTATTATTTACTTTCTTTCATGTTGATTAAAGGGATTGAATGTTAAATAAAATCGTGAACTATTGACATATGTATGCTATATCAATTTGCCTTAGTTTAGTGTTACAGAAAAGGAGGTATCAGTTTCTTGGCTTTCAGAAATTTAGATTTCTTCACACGATACCATAACCCTTTTATATGAAGACCTTTCTCCTCATCATCATCATCTTCACCACTTGAGATGGTTAGGACATGTGTTACGTATACTCAACCACCGACTGCCTTGTCAAGCTATGTTTTGTCGTGTAAGAGTAGATTGGAAGAAAGCTAGGGGCAGTCGAACCAAAACATAGGAGAAATCGATCAAGTCACTGACAACTGAACTGAGTCATGTTGGTTAAGTGTAGACTATCTTGTTGGGGTCCGCGAAACGATAGTAATCTTAAACGGCATGGCCCAAAATCGTTCGCAGTGGCGCAGGTGCATTCATTGTTTGTGTTCTATTAAATTATAATCCTCTAGATTGTTCATCACCTTTATCTTTCTATTTTTAAGTTTATTTCACTGGATTATACTTCTTGAATAATATCATCGAACCCTCATCTCTCTGACCACTGCTAATAATTCTACTACCTTTACTACTATGGGATTTGAATTGGCAATTCGATCGTTGTGTGCTAATGTGTTATGGTAACTTGAACTGATGTGCTTACGTACGAAGTTCTACGTTGTAGCTGACTGACTGACTTTCCCTCCACCCACCCCCCCAGAACAAGGCTTTTTCTGATTAGCAACAGTGTAGAAAGGGTCTTTTCAGCAAGATGGAGCTACTAGCCATGCTCTTGATCTTTTATCCCTCTCTCTCGACACATTCATGGTAGCACCTTTGGAGAAGTTCTCAGTTTATTGTATCCCACTTAGAACTTTACAGATGATGTTTTCAGAAGGTTATTTGTTGTCTAGTGCTTCACTGTAACTGTCTTTTTAGTTTCATTTTTGAAGACGATGTAGTCAGTAGTTATCATTACTAGTAATGTCGTGTTAAGCTATGTAAGTGATTTGATTGGTCGTTGTTGATATATGAGCTCATTTGCTTGTATACCTCGATCCTAGACAATAGTTAACATATCCATAATATTGGTTAAATGAAATCTGGACACAAGATACATTCCATTTTGAACGAATCAACTTGATGTATATATTTGATTCACTGGTTTAACAAGAATTAGTTTGTCATAAATCTAGGGTCAGTCATACGAAAACGTGACATCAGTCCATGAAATTATTGACTATTTGCAGACTAGTTAATTAAGGTCTACACCGCTATCCTGACGAATGGTCGGAGATGTTAGGTGACGATTGAGAATTGGGCGTAATAGCACAGATACCTTTCCTTGGATCCTGAGTTTTAAAGTACTCTTATACATTATGTTCAACGAATTAATTATTTATATTCGAGCGATAACATCATTGGATTGTCTTTTTTACTACAACTGATACTACTACTACTACTACTACTACTTCGGCATTCATCTCACTGTGCTGATCTGATATAACAATTTTTACCGATGTACGCATGTGCCGGGGTTCTACGTTGCGAAATATTGATGAATTTATTTTTTTACCGAACTCTCTAAATTAAAGATGTCCCTTCCAGTCAAACTAATATGCTGTCGTTAGGAAACGAGTACTAGGTAAGGATGGCAGATCAATAGATGAAGTGGTGAAACTTTATCAGTTATGTGTTACGTATGGCCAACCATCGACCACCTCGACGAGCTATGTTTTGTGGTGTAGGAATAGGTTGGAAGAAAGCTAGGGGCGGACAGACCAAAACATGGCAGAAATCCATGAAGTCACTGACTAGTGGACTGAGTCATGTTGGTAGATGTAGACTACTTGGTTGGGGTCCGCGAGACGATAGTCACCAATGGTTAGAGACCTTGAACGATATGGCTCAAAATCGTTTGCAATCGCGCAAGTGCATCCATTCATTGTGCTCTCTCAAATCTTAATCTTCTGGATTCGCCAGCACGCCTACCTTTGTCTTTCTAACCTTATCTCACTGAATTATACTTCTTGAATGATATCTTCGAACCCTAGTCTTTTTTATTACCATTAATACCTCTACTAACTCAATCATAATGGGATTTGATTTGACATTTGCGTCTTTGTGCTAATGTGGTATAGCAACATGAACTTATGTACATACGTACGTAGTTCTACGTTGCAACTGACTGACTGACAAATTAATGTGCATACGTTAACAATCGAGATATCGTTCTTTTTTTTCTGTTTTATAATAATTAATGACATTACATTTGAATACATTGTATTGTTTTTTACTACTCTGTAACTTCTTATTTATCTATATTTGTGAAGTAACATGTATTTTTTATGCTACTGTACTTAATTATATTAGTCATACATGCTAACTTTTTTTTTAAATATTTTAACAGATACAACATTTTGTCGTAATATTCGTGATGGTCAATGGTATGAATATGATGATGAAAATGTATCATTATTGAATAGGAATGAAATACAAGTAAGTTATTTACAGAATTTAAAATTAATAACATTTTTATTAGTGTAACTAAAGTTCTCAGCACAAAATAATAGAAATTTCTCTAAAGTAGCATTTTTATGGAGTTTGACTAATCAAACTGAATTTCAAAGTTGAATCAATAGCTTCATGACACATCATGGCTTGATATACGTGGATATTCGTAGGTTACTGGTTTTCGATCATAGGTGTCTTCGAAGCATTGCTCGTATATCCTGGGACACCCGAGTGAGCAACGCTGTTATTAGGAATCGGGTGCTAGGTAAGAATGGCAGATCAATAGACGCAGTAGTGACACTTCATCAGTTGAGGTGTTTGGGACATGTGTTGCGTATGCCTGTTGGGGATGTTAGATCCCCAAAATTCGCTTGATAATGCCGTATTTCGGTTTTCACGTTCGCCAGCAGGGGCTGATCAAATGACCTTGAGATTTCAATTCCCACCAGGAAAATCAATGGCTGTGATTGGCTACAGTGTATTTTAGTATGCTATTTTCTTAACTGTCTCAAGGACGTTCTTATGTTGTATAAATAAACGAGAGTTGTATGCTTAATTGTACTGGGATTGCTGGGTGCTTGTAGAATATACTTCTACGCCTACAAAGTCTTCTAATTCGATTCTGGGATTCAGGGTAGCCTTCCTGGAAGCTGGTAAAAGTCTCGTTCGCGTTTATCGACTAAGGTAAACTCGTAATAGCCTCAAGCATCCTAAGTGACGAACATATCAGTGGCGACGGGGCTCACAATTCACAATGTCAATTAATCTTGAACAGTTAGAATCCTTACTGGAACGTCAAGGTAAACGATATGAACAGTTCCAGGAACGTATGTTGGAGCTGTTAATGAAACAAATGAATTTGAATCACAGAGGTTTTGCCGATGATTCATATAATCCGCATACAGGCTCGATAGTTAATTCCATTCATGAATTTCATTTTGATGGCCTTGCTGGTGTGACTTTCGAGTCTTGGTTTAAGAAGTATGAGGATTTGTTCAAGGTCGACCTCAACAATCTTGATGACGCCACCAAAGTCAGAATCCTTTTGAGAAAGCTCGGCACAATCGAACACGAACGGTATAGTAATTTCATCCTCCCAAAGAACCCACGAGATTTCTCTTTTGATGCTACAATTGATACGCTGTCGCAAATCTTCTCTGAACAGTCATCTCTCTTTAATATTCGTTATCAATGCCTCAAAATAATCAAGTCAAATGAAGATGACTGGGTAAAGCATGCTGGCTTAGTAAATCGTGAATGCGAACGATTTAAATTATCATCAATGACGGAAGATCAGTTTAAGTGCCTTGTGTTTGTGTGCAGCTTACAATCTCCCGACGATGCTGATATAAGAACCAGAATCCTAAGTAAAATTGAACAGTGCCCAAACATCTCGCTTCAAGAAATAACTGCAGAGTGCCAGAAATTAGTAAACTTGAAGCATGATACCTCCATGGTCGAAAACAAGGGCCTCTCATCATACGTGCATTCCATTAGTGAAAAGAAAAATTCCAATTCGGCCCAAAAACCCAAAATGAATCCACCTTCTGCTTGCTGGCACTGCGGTTCATGGCACTATGTACGGAACTGCCCATTTAGGCAGCATAGATGCAGGAAGTGTAAAGTCATCGGTCATAAAGATGGCTTTTGCCTACAGAAAAAGCCAAAGCGATCCAGAAGTGCTAAGAAGCCTGTTCCTAGATCCAGTACCAATGCATTGAGCCTAATATCTTCCTGCCAAAGCTCATCACCAGGTGAGAGGAAATTTATTACTCTTAATATTAACGGTTATTTGTGTAGAATGCAAATAGATACTGCATCTGATGTCACTATCCTCTCACGCAAAAATTGGACCAAATTGGGCAGCCCAAGCCTGCAGCACACAACACAAAAGCCTCGTACAGCAGGTGGTAATTATCTTCGTCTGTTAGGACAATTGGAATGTAAAGTTGCTTTCCGAGATTCGTCGTTTACTGGGGTATGCTATATAACGCCAGCTGATCTAAATTTACTTGGTTTAGATTGGTTCGACCAGCTAAAATTGGCTGATGTCCCGCTAAATACCATATGCAGCCTGGTATCACAACGACATGACCCAGAAGCGTATACGAAGAACCACGCAGAATGTTATCTGACAACCGCAGTTCGCGCATTACCGGTGTCTGCAACAGACATACAAAATGCTTCTAGAAACGACACCATCATCAAGATGACGATGAAATATGTCACTAACGGTTGGCCGTCGAAAAAGTTTGAAGGTGACATGAAGCAACTGTATCAGCGGCGGGAGTCACTATGCATCGTCAACGATTGTCTGATGTTTGGTGAAAGAGTAGTGGTGCCAGAATCCCTTCGTGCAAAAGTGCTGAGACAGTTCCATCTTGGTCATCCTGGGATTAAACGAATGAAGTCCATAGCCAGGAGTTATGCATACTGGCCTCACATGGATCAACATGTCACAGCGTTGGTTGAAAAATGCATCCGGTGTCAGCAGGCGGCAAAGATGAATGCCAAAATTCCGCCGGTTTCATGGCCCAAACCTGAGCATCCTTGGTCCAGGATACATGTCGACTTCGCTGGCCCAATAAATGGAACTATGTATTTGATTGTCGTCGACGCCTTTTCTAAATGGCCGGAAATCAGCCCCGTTATACCGCCCACTACAACTAAGACTATACAGCTCCTAACTGAAATTTTCTCACGAAACGGCATACCAGATGTGATCGTATCCGACAATGGCTCTCAATTCACCTCTTCCCAATTCCAGACTTTCTGTCAACGGCTAGCCATTGAACACTTACGCTCGCCACCATACCACCCGCAATCGAATGGGCAGGCGGAAAGGTTTGTGGATACGTTTAAAAGAGCACTGCTCAAGTCAAAAGGGGAGGGGACGCCAGCCGAAACGTTACAAAATTTCTTGTACGTCTATCGGACAACACCAAATGAATTGTTACCGGAGCAAAAGTCCCCAGCTGAAATCCTGATGGGAAGAAGATTGAAAACGATTCACAGCCTGATGCATCCGACCAATGCACCCTCATCAGTAGAGACAAAGCAGCAAAGACAATCCGCTTACGAGGTGGGATGCCCTGTGTTTGCCCGCGACTACAGAACGAACCATGGTCCTTGGGTAGAAGCGAGAGTGGTCAGAAGGGTTGGTCGAGTTATGTACGAAGTAGAGGTAGGAGGTGATAAATGGTCACGTCATCGCAATCAGATACGCAGACGGCTAGCCCCAGATCGCCCATCAAGAGCAGAAAGCCTTCCCCTTGACATCTTGCTTGATACCTTCAACCTACCGAGAGCCCCGCCACGAGAAGAAACTCAGCAGCAAGCTGTTCTTCGTTCCCGAAGGTATCCCCTCAGACAGCGGCGAACAATAGTCAAGATGCAAGTCAACCACAGGAGAACACGCTATTAAAAAGGGGAGGAGTGTTGGGGATGTTAGATCCCCAAAATTCACTTGATAATGCCGTATTTCGGTTTTCACGTTCGCCAGCAGGGGCTGATCAAATGACCTTGAGATTTCAATTCCCACCAGGAAAATCAATGGCTGTGATTGGCTACAGTGTATTTTAGTATGCTATTTTCTTAACTGTCTCAAGGACGTTCTTATGTTGTATAAATAAACGAGAGTTGTATGCTTAATTGTACTGGGATTGCTGGGTGCTTGTAGAATATACTTCTACGCCTACAAAGTCTTCTAATTCGATTCTGGGATTCAGGGTAGCCTTCCTGGAAGCTGGTAAAAGTCTCGTTCGCGTTTATCGACTAAGGTAAACTCGTAATAGCCTCAAGCATCCTAAGTGCCGAACATATCAATGCCCAACCACTGACTGCCTCGACGAGCTTTGTTTTGTAGTGTAGGAATAGGTTGGAAGAAAGTTAGGGGCGGTCAAACCAAAACATGGCAGAAATCCATGAAGTCATTGACGAGTGGACTGAGTCATGTCGGTAATTGTCGACTACCTGGTTGGGGTCCGCGAGATGATAATAATCGATGTTTGGAGACCTTGAATGACATGGCTCAAAATCGTTCTCAATGGCGCCAGTGCATTTATTCTTTGTGTTCTCTCAAATCCTAATCTTCTGGATTCTACAACACCTCTAGTTTTGACTTTCTAAACTTTTCTCACTGAATCATACTTCTTGAATAATATCTTCTAATCCTAACCTCTTCGATTACTTCCAATACCTTTGCGACCTCTTCTACTATTGGATTTGAATTGACAATTACATCTCTGTGCTGATGTGGTATGGCGACATGAACTGATGTACTTACGTACGAAAGTCTACGTTGCATCTGACTGACTGACTGATACGTGGATCAACAAGATATGCCTATCAACACAACAATATAGTGCACATCCATTCTAGTATTTTACTGTTAACTGCTAAGAGTTCTAAATTTAATCTTCGTTAGCATTTTATGAACCGTATACCAATTGGTAAAAATAGTTATTTATGTCTGCCAGTCATGATCAGTTTATCGTAAAAAAAAAACGTCATTTTGTGCTTTTAATTATTTTAAGCTATATCTTTTATTTATTGATACGTACTACTTGTACTACTATTTCAGTCGTATCATTATTTTTTACTATATACAATTCATTCCACACACACACACACACTCTTTATTAATCCCTTTGCGAAGCATTAAATTCCCTCGATACTCAAAAAATGTCAAATAACTGGAAAAATACGTTGCTTCAAGGAAGGGTTTTTGATATGATGTTTTCTCCCTAAGCTAGATTGTGTAATCAGTTCAGTTTCAGTCATTATGTGCGCTTATGTTCGATGTAGTTAGTGATATCGAGGGCGGATAAATCATCATCATCATCAAATAAACATATTAAACTAATTTTATTGTTTTAAAAACTTTTTAAGTTTCGCCCAAATCTTTTGCATAATTACTTAACTACTTCTTTGAATATACTCTTATTAGTTATAGATCAGATTATAGAATAATTCAAAAGTTGTTCGTATCTTAGTGTGAACCGTAGTGAAATATATTTTGATGCATACAATAAGTATTTTTCCGAATAATCATAACACTGATCATTAATTGCTCACTTCGATACTAATGTCGATTTCTAGACATACAGTATCTAGGAACTGGGCATAATCCCATCTGACTGGTCACAATCACTAATAGTCCCAATCTACAAAAACGGACAAAGCTCCTATTGACAATCACAGAGGAATAAGTCTAACTAATATAGTATCTAAAATATTGTCGAAGTATTATTGAGGCCAATATTTTAGATACTATATTAGTTAGACTTATTCCTCTGTGATTGTCAATAGGAGCTTTGTCCGTTTTTGTAGATTGGGACTATTAGTGATTGTGACCTAACTAGAACTTGTGAACAGCAGACTTGAGAAAACCAGTCTGGTTTTCGAACTGGACGTGCATGTATAGACCAGACATTCACACTACGTCAGGTCCTAGAACAGAGACACTCTTTCCGACGTCCCACAATAGTAGTATTTTTCGACCTTAAAGCGGCATTCGGATCCGTTGATCGTGAGGGTCTGTGTCACTGTCTGTCATTAAAAGGTGTACCAGAGAAGTATATTAAGCTTATACAAGCTCTCTACTCGAACACTACTTATCAAGTGAGAGCTTATGGAGAAATGTCATCGGGATTCTTTGCTTCAAGTGGTGTCCGTCAGGGCTGTCCCCTCTCTCCGTTCTTGTTTAACTTTGTCGTAGACATGCTCCTAGAGTTAACTTTATCTTCGTCTGAATTTTCAGAAGTGGACCTTCTGCCAGGAGACTCGCTTGTTGACTTCGAGTATACTGATGACATTGTCCTATTCAGTGAAGACGCTGACAAAATGCAGTTTCTCCATACTACCCTAAGCAACAATCCAAGCCTGTTTGGGATGCGGTTTTCCTCCTCGAAATGCAAAATGTTCATTCATGATTTGTTTGCGACGGCACCTGAACTAGTGATAGGAGTGAAATAGTGTGACGTATCGACCGCTTCACTTATCTTAGGAGTCTCATCAGTGATGATGGCCTGGTGACTAATGAAGTCTCAGCAAGTATACCGAAAGCTCGATTGGCTTTTGCCAACTTGCGTCACCTATGGCGCAGACGAGATATCCGTTTGCTAACCAAAGGACGAGCGTACTGCGCAGCAGTTCGCGCAGGTGCATCCACTCTTTGTGTTATCTCAAATTCTAACCCCTCTGAATTCCTAATAACCTCTACCTTTCTGTTTTTAAATTTTTTCACTGAATTATACTTCTTCAATAATATCTTCGAACCCTAATGTTCTGCATTAGCTCTAATACTCCAACTGTCTTTATCACTACGGGATTCGAACTAACAATTGCGTGGTTGGGCTAGTGTGGTGTGGCAAACGAACGTATGTACGTGTGTACAAAGTTTCACGTTGTGACATACTGATATACAATATAAATTTATGTATACCTGGTTTTTTCGCAGTAACATGTATTATTATGTCAAATAATGCTTTCTCGATGACTAATCGGCCGCCCAATAAGAATGTAATTCCAACTCACTGTTTTATGCATCTTTTGGTACTGTTCTCCCTCCTGAGTGTCTACATATTGTTAGTCGGCTTTCAAAAACATTAGGCAATTCCTAGTTTCTGACCTCTTATTTATGGATTGTGATCCTTCCTGACCTATTGTGGTTGCTTCAAATCATAGTATTGTAGCCACTATCTTTCACATCTTTCCTCAAGGAAATTAAAGAGCGATCTCATACATGCAGATCGTTAATAACGACAGAACGTTACTACAATCTAATTGAAAAGGAAGCACTTGCAACTATTTTTGCAGTGAAGTTCCACAAAATGATATTTGAAAGTTAAATCACCCTATTAATTAGTCATAAAATATTACTAGCTGTATTCGATTCAGAAATGGGATTCCTGTCTACAAATTTAGTTGACTACCACGATGGGCAACCAAACTTCTCGGGTTCACTTTTAAAAGCAACTACCGATCTACTACGACCTTTAGAAAAGCTTGTGCCTTGTCGAGATTGATAGGTTCCCACGCAACTTTAGGTGACACTGTTGTGGCAGCTATAGAAAATGAAACAAAAGTTCATCGAGTTCTGAATGATGCGGCTGGTGGACCACCGGTTATTCTCGAATACATCAAACGAGCCACTAGAAATGATAAGTCATTAAAAGAATCATCGTTTTCAAGAGGAGTACTCGTACAATACCTTTCGTCTATATGACTCACTTATGGTTTCCCACCCATGTGTTGTTTGATTACCGAATGCAAAGATTACGACACCGAAAATTTTCTGAGTAATTGCATAATGACCACCCTGGGACCAATATAATATAACCTTTTGTTCGAAGTTACGCTTACTGTCCTTCAATGGACCGTTACATCAAAGACTACTGTTCGTCTTGCCTGTAGGTCTCTAAAAGTCGCTCAAAAAGTGAACCGTAGAAGTCACCTAAACCTAGAAGACTCTTAGAGAGGATCCTTGCAGACTTTGCTGGTGCAGTGCAAAGAAAAATGTGTTTTAGTCGTTATGGATCCACTTACGAAGTGGCTGCAAATATATATTATGCCGAAATATACAACCGAAGAAACGACCAACAAGTTTCTTGGTTGTTTCGGACAGGTATTGACTCTCAATTCTCTTCAGAACTGTTTAAACAATCCTGTTATGTGAGTGGAATTGCTCGCTTACACCCCTCAGTTTAACCAACGATTAAAACGCTTTGTGGACACCAAAAGAACATTACTTAGAGTTGGAAACAAGACAACAAGTCAAGTAATCACTAATTTCTTGATATTCACTAGAATTGCCCCAAATTCTGTCATACTAAATGAGAGCTCACCAGCCGAAGTTATGTTTGGAAGAACCATCCGATTTCAAAAGTTATCGCACTGTCTAAGAAGGTGAAGTGCCGCAGACAAAATAAGTATCACCAGTTCCTGTATGGGGATCAGTGGTCGAAAAAAGAATAGAGGTTTGTATAAGATGCGAGAAGCCGTCGCAACATGCGTTATAAATACAAACCAAATCCATAGGACACTTACAAGGTGAAAATTTGGAAATCTTTAGAAGGAAGGAGAATGAAGAACGTACTCAAGAAAATGGGGAGCCATCATAAACCAGCAATCAAGATACGAGTAGGCTCTGGGAAAAGTTATATTTTTTGACGTAAGGTATTGCAGGGTCCTAAAATCTCCTTTTTCACAGCCTTTTGAGACTCAATAATGCCAGGAGACGCTCTACCCGATCAGCGTTGAACAGAATCTTTGAAGTAACATCCAGAATACGCAAAACTGCGTGTCACTACTGTGACTGGATATTTACTACTGTATTGAGTACGGTCCGAGAAACCAAAGGTTGTGCATAACTCTATCAATAATCTCATTTTTCAGTATATGAACTAACCTTGGAATAAAGCTTTTACCCGCAGTTTGCACCTTCTCTTTCTTGTTCCAATTAAGGTGTAGTAGGTGGGGTCGTAGCAACTGAATAACAGAACAGTTTAGGCGTATGGGCAGCAGACTTATCAGTCTATAATATCGTATGTTTCTTAACACTAACAAAGCAATAAAACTACTCATCGAGTTCATTTCTTAGCATGAGATATTTGCGGGGATTAAAGGTTTTTTACATAGACATACAGCCATGGAGTACTGAACGAAGTTCAAGACATTTGGACCTTGGGATAAAACGTAACATTTTGAACATTAAGGTAAAAACCCAACAGTTCATATTATTTTACTGCAGTCGATTTGCAGTGTTACTACTGTTGATTGCCATCGCTGATATATTGTTCGACCCCACAGGTCTCAACTTGTTTTTAGAATTCCAGGAATTCTTCTAAAGATAGATACATAAGGTGCACTATTCCTGAATGACGCCACCAGGTGGGTTGGTCTTAACTAATGGTTGAAGACCATAAGTCAAAACTATTTACAGATCCACTACATTTTCCTCACTATTGAATTAAATATTCTCTCATACTACTGGGTTCACAACTCTCTGTACTAAATTATATTCCGTACATCCGAGTTTTCAGAACCACTGATATACACTGTCAAACTTGTTTGTTCTCTGTTTTGTTCACTTTCCTATCTCTATTCATGTGCAATACAGCAACTTTAGCTAATGTCAAATATACACTGATATAAGATTTGTAGCAAATTTTTGAAATTTTATTTGCCATAGATCACTCTCATTAGATCTTACTTTTTCCGTTTTTTTATTTTCTTCCAGAATGATAATGCTTACATATTATTCTATGAGTTACTACCTCGTGTTGGTGTATTTTTTGAAAATACACATGATACGGTTCAATGATTTTCTTTGATTTGCTTTGTTATTATTTATTTATAATATACATATATATATATATATATATTTCTTCAGTAAATATGACGACAAGTTATCACACTAATTTTTTTTTTTTGGTTTCAACATGCAGATGTATATTTACGTATTTTTTACAACTAATATTTAATAAAAGATCAATTTATATATTGTCTTCTGAAAATAAATAATGCTAAACATTTGTTGTTCTTGCAAAAAATATTGAAAATGTTAGCAAATATATTGAGTAGGAAAAAATAATAGGATGTATTTTTGAATTTAAAATAGATCAGTAGGAGAATTATAACACCGAAGAAAATGAGCTAGGTACAGGTAAACTGCTAGAGCATTTTGCGGCTAAATATATCTGAAGTGTTATTCTATGAATATTTGATTCTATGTTTACCGTCATGATTTGTTGTAGTTTTTCTGAAATAACCTAGTACAAGACTTGTCGGCTTACTCCTTAGACAATATTACTAGATATTTTCACATACTACTTAAGTAGAACAAATATTAGTAAAATTGCTACTCGTTCTTCCATACTACGTAGCTATGGCCAAAGAATTAATAAAGCTTTTGAAAAGCATCATCGTTCTGTCTACCTTCAAGCAGTGGTAGCGCATACTCTAAATTCCTTTTCAATAATATACGCATTAGTTCGACATGCTCACAAGTACGTCAACTCAACACAACTATCCTCACTCATTTAAAGTGTGAGACAGACAAATACAACGCAGAACTTCGTACGTAAGTACATCAGTTCAGGTCGCCATGCCCCATCAGCACAGAGACGCAACTGTCAGTTCAAATCCAACAGTGATTGAAATAATAAAAGTATTAGCAGTAATGGAGAAGTGTAGGGAGCGAAGATATCATTCGAGAAGTATAATTCAGTAAGATAAATTTAGAAGGAGAAAGGTAGAGATTATGAGGAATGCAGAAGCTTAGAATTTCATAGAACACAAAGAGTGGATGCACCGGCGCCATTGCAAACGATTCTGAGCGATGTCATTAGCCGACCGTAGCTGCTACCTTAACGTGGTGGTCCAGCTTGCCTATCGTGATGACCCAACCGAGCTATATTGGCTTGAAAATATGTTCCTGAAGGTTCTATCATGCCAGGCAGGTCGATTGGAGAACGATCAGACTAAAAGCAGCTACTCAAGGTCTGACGGCGAAGTCGCACTGCTGACTGTAATGGGGTGTGGCAGCAGTAAGGTGTTCCTTTCGGGAAACCAACATCTGCAGCGATGTTGCCTTCTCACAAGGAAGGAAGGGTTAGAAAAGGTCGACCCTGAAAATGTCACACCTCACCTTACTTCGCGGATTTCCGTCTCCGTCGGTAAGGGTGCCCATTGAGGGCTTTTAAGAGCGGAGCTAATACTCAAAAACCATGCGTGACCGGCCTCAAGCAGTTGTCCCTTGGACTCTGCGATCACGCTCCCAGGTCTCTAAGACCGTCAATAATCTACCTTCTTTTTCAGGTCCCTCAAGAAACAACCTTCCACGGTGTGGGCAGCCGGGAAGTGACAACCAACCTCATACCCGTTACAGCACACGAGACCAAATTGGTCGAAATCAAATCCTTGCTACACCCTCTTATCTTCATTTAAAGTGTGATGCTTTCTGCAATTTGTTACTGAGTTTAGACTTGATGCCATTACATAATCTAAGTCGGTTATTGGGGACTTCAACCAATATAGTTAGGGAATATAACATTTTTAATCACTGGGATCATTTCATAGAAACAGTTTTTAACCGACCTAAACATGACTTACCTAAGTTACCATTCAATAGCAAGTGATGTGAAGGTTAGTACGAAAGTGTGCTTTTATACTAAGCTAGTTGTATTTCTCGTTTTTAGTGTGAGTTTGCTTTACTTAGATAACAAATAACATCCAGAAATTTGTTTCATTCACGTGTAGGCTTCATTAATGTTTTTTTATTTCACATAAAATCTGGTACAATCGCATACCAAGAATGCAATCAAAGTAACTACTCACCCTATTGCCATAGTTCGGACTCAGGATTAAAGGCTGAGGGCATATCTTTATATCACTCAGCTCGGAATCCAACAAAAAAAACTATACTAATGACAATGGAAGGATTATGTGCTCATCTATTACTAGAATATGACTTAAGTGAAAAATCAAACAAATAGCTTAATGCTATGATGAAAGCAATGATAGAAATTAGTGGTTTGCTTTATAAAGTAATTTATTTAATGGACATCAACAGCCTAATAAACAATAATGGATTGAGAAATGCTGATATGTTCACAGGCACAAAGATTCAGTAACATGAGCATATAATACATGTTTGCATACAATTATGATTCAGTTTGGACAGTGCTAACTTTGTACAGCTGTTTAGAAGTCATGTTATTGTATCATGGGATAATTTCAAAAACAATTGACGATAATTGTACAGTTTTGCTTTGGAACATTTAGAAATAAAATATGCATAAACTGATCCACAACTTAAATTAAACCTAAAGTTAACACACCTGAGATTGAAGAAAGGCGGAGATACTTTTAGTGGGATACTACCGCTTTTTCTTTTTTTTTTCAGAAAGTAATCATAAGAAAAAAATGCCAACAAAGGAATGCAAATAAGAAGAAACTAAACGAATGTTGATAGCCACGCTAGAATTCTCTAGAAAACAGTACACAAAGTGCACGTGATCTTTTAGAAAAATTGACAAAGCAAGCTATAGATTAAATTAAAACAGGGAACCATAAGGAAACGAAAGAACCAGGTAAATAAACAAGATTAACGAATCTCATATATCAAACTGGAGTGAATGAATGGACGATGGATGATTCCGTAGACGGTACGGGAGTGTCGTCATCGAGAACTTCATCTACACTTTCTCCTCCATCACTTCTAGCACCAATGCTTGTACAGGCACTTGCACTACTGCTTTCTGTACATGGCACTTCTGTTAGAGTATCATCTTTGTTTGATGACGCGAAGCCTGAATGTCCGGAATCTGACGATCTTGGGGCAGGGGATAGTGTGATGCGTGATTCTCTCCTAGAAGACTCGGAATCTACATTGATACCATGTGAATGTCCAGTAGAAGGATAAGTAGCAGAGTTTGCATATTTTTGTGTCCACAGTCGTGCAATGCGATCATGTTCTGGTCTGTTATGCATGTATTGGCTAGCAATAGATCCAACAAGTGGGTCGGCAGGATTACAATCAGTAAGCAACGAGCAAATGGATAGCAAAACTTTACTAATGGTAAGAGCAGGAGACCAATTATTCTGTAATGTAAGAAAATAATAAGTCAAAATAGACAGTGAGATTATTGACCAAGAAATGTATTTATGAGAACTAAGTATATCAATAAGTACTTTGTTTCTTTGCTTTACACAACATGTCATTTTGATATTAACAGATTTAAGCACATTAGTTGACAAAAAATTAGGAACTAAAGATGCTGTTGATAAACTTCTTCATATAGATTCTTCGCAATGACAATTTCTATGTAATAGAAGTTAACATTAAAAACTGAATCTAACTATCTCGTTGTCTAGTGTGTTAATCTTTCCCTAATTATAAATTTTAACTAACTGTCTATAGGAGTATTTGCTTTAAATAAGTTATTAGTTGCTTTTCGAAATTTTATGGTGGCCTGACTGTTAGAATATAGATAGGAATAACAACAATGAAAGCTGTCTAAACCTTAATAAAACGCTATCTGGTTGATTTGTAGTATGGTTAAGTACTTAGTTGTAAGCATGTACATGACCTCCCACGATTGATATGATTCACGGTAAAAAATCTGGCAAAATACTTTTTTATTCAGTATGTCACAAGCAGTGACAAAATAGTTAGGCTGGAAAACTGTACACGGAACGTATTTACAGAGATATAATCTCTTTATAAGCTACTCTATGGATTTATTTATTTCCAATAGAATTGGTTAGCAGGATTACTGATTTCATCAAAGGGTAAGTTAAAAGCAACTCAACGTAATTCAGTGTTCCCTTCCGTTGCAAACACTGGTGTTAGTTTTTGGGTTGAAATTAAGTTGGTTAACAGGCAGGAACACTATAAGACCTGATATTAGTGTGGCGTTATTTAGACTAATCACAATTCATGCTAATGAAAGTACAGAAAATCGAAAAGGGAGTGAAAAATAATGAACCTATGCGACAAGATGAAGAGCAAATGAATTTACATAACTGTGATCACTGTCGACAGTATTCGTACAGTGATCTCTATTTTCTGATGAACATAGAAAGGACAATTCCTGGTTGACAGTCAGTAAATTCGTGCGCAAACGTCATATACTGTGTGTATGACCTTCAAGATTTCTTAGACATATCTTTTCGTGTAGGCAAAATGCGTTTTTCTAAATTCAGGTCTACAAACTGACTAATTATGTTAACTGAGATCCTACAATTAATCTAAAATATTCACTTTGGAAAAACTGATAGCTTCATTTTCCAGTTGATTACTCGACCATGTACGAAGGTGAGGGTTCTATCTGAGGTTCCAAAGACAATTTTCATCCATAAAAGATTTTAATTGGTCACAATGACTCAGGGCTAATCATTTTATATCTTCCTCCTAATGTCAAAGTTCCCAAAATTTAGAACATTCATTACCAATTTCTGCATCCTTTTCAATATTCAGATTATTTTCATTTTAAAATCCATATCATAATTTGATTTTAGTTCCACGAGTATGAAATGAGAAAGCTCGTGCTGTACTCTAAGCCATACTTGTGTGATCCTGGTCACCAAAATAAAACCAGACGGCGTTTGACTAGACAATCATAAACCTAATTTCACTGGCTTTCATGGTTTCAGAGTGAATATAAGAAATGTTAACTAGATAGCAGACTTTAATACCACGTCTAAACAAGTTTTTAAACACGGAACAATAGATATGACTTAATGACAGTATTTGATTTCTAAAGCCAAAGCACATGAAGAGAGGCCCGATCATGTGATTTACTGTCTGAAAGCATTTGCCCTATATTTATCGACAGTTCAGTCAGCCAGCTACAACGTAGTACATCAGTTCGAGTTCCCATACCACATTAGCACAGATATGCAATTATTAATTCAAATCCCATAGTGCTAGACATAGTGTAAGTATTAGTGGAGAAGACTAAGGTTCGAAGAAATTATTCAACAAGTATAATACAGTGGAATCAATTTCAAAAAGAAGAAAAGAGGTCAACAGGAATTCAGGAGATTAGAATTAGGGAGGAGACAAAGAATGGATGCACCTGAGCCATTGCATATGATTTTGAGCCATGTATCTGCCACCTTGACGTGGTGGTCGGGTTCGCCTATCGGAATGACTCAACCGAGCTATATTGGCTGGAACGTATGTCCCTGTAGTTTTTACCATGCCAGGCAGGTCGATTGGAGAACGATCAGACTAAAAGCAGCTACTCAAGGTCTGAGGGCGAAGTCGCACTGCCGACTGTAATGGGGTGTGGCAGCAGTAAGGTGTTCCTTTCGCGCAACCAGCATCTGCAGCGATGTTGCCTTCTCACAAGGAAGGAAGGGTTAGAAAAGGTCGACCCTAAAAATGTCACACCTCACCTTGCTTCACGGATTTCCTTCTCCGGTGGTAAGGCCGCTTAAAGAGCGGAGATAATATTTTAAGAACATCTCATTAAAAGGCCACGTGTGACCAGCCTTAAGCAGTTGTCTCTTGGGCTGTGTGGTCATGCTCCCAGGTCTCTAAGACCAAGACTAATCTACCTTCCTTTTCAGGTCCCTCAAGAAACAACTTTCCACGGTGTGGGCAGCCGGGAAGTGACAACCGCCCTCATACGCGTGACAGCACACGAGACCGTATTGGTTACAGGTAAATCCTTCCTAAAACCCTTAACATCTCTCTTATCTCCACGACACACCCTTCTCACATTCCATTATCTCACTGCACCGCTAATGCAAACGATGCGAATCCACGAAATGTTATTCCTGGCCTCTTAAAACCCCATTCTAGACTACATGTTGGAGCTTTTAATGTCCGGACATTGTGTCGAATAGGGCAACAGGCTTCCTTAGATAGGACTTTAGAATTTCGCTCAATCGACGTATGCTGCGTCTGGCAAAAACGCATGCAAGATCCTAGTAAAATCATCAATCTGATTTCACCTTGTCAAAATAAAGAAGCAGCTCGATTTACTCTTCGTGTATATGGAAACCCTGATGCTGCTTCCCAAAGTCTCGCTGGTGTAGGTATAGCATTGAGTCCAAGGGCTGAACTACCTATCCTAGACCGGATCCCAGTAGATAGTCGCTTGTGCGCTGTCCGACTAAACGGGATAGTAAGGACTCGCAGAGATAAGGACACTCGCCGTTGCCTCTTCGTCATATCTGCCTATGCCCCCACTGACTGCAGTTCAGACGAGGTGAAAGATGAGTTTTAAAGAAAGCTTTCAGACCTCCTCCAAAAAGCTAGGCGCTCTGATATAGTAATAATGGCTGGTGACTTCAATACTCAAGTAGGTAGACTAAGTGAAAACGAAAGACACCTGTGTCGACCTTATAGTGTCGCAGCTCAGAGAACAGACAATCGCGACCTTCTGTTGCAACTATGCTCTGATAACCGCCTGATCCTAGAAAACACTAACTTTAGGCATAAGGAAAAGCATCTGTTGACCTGGCGACCCCCAAAGTCGTCTCAACGTTGGACCCAACTAGATCACATTGCCATCAGCCACAGATCGAGGGGTTCGATAGAGGACTGTCGCTCGTTCTGGGGCACATGTTTGGATTCAGATCATGCCCTAGTGCGAGCGCGTATTTGTTTGAGGCTTACTGGACGTAGGAAAGACACCGCCAGAAAACCTCTTAGGGCTTTATTTGATGATAATCAAACTAAGAAAATATTTCAGGAGGAACTAGAAAGGTAGTTAGGCGACCATGCAAGTGATTCCCATCCGGAGGCAGGTTGGGATGATATCAAAAAGGCTGTGACATCTGCTAGCAAAGTAAACCATAAGGCTAGGAAGAAGCATCCACGAAAGTGATGGACGATCGTAAACTCATCCCACTTGGCTCTGAGTGTGATGAGGAGCGGAGTCAGCGAACCTTCTACCAGGATACCTGCTTGTTGACTTACAATATACTGATGACACATTTATATTCGGTGAAGACGCTGACGAAATGCAGTCTTCTGACTACCCTAAGCAACAATGTAAACATGTTCGAGATGCTAGTCTCCCTCTCGAAATGTAAAATGTTGCTTGTAAAAGATTGGCTTGCAACGGCATCTGAACTAATTATAGGGAGTGAAGTAGTTGAGCGTGTCAACCGCTTCACTTATCTCGGGAGTCTCATTAGTGCTGACAACCTGGTGACTGACGAAATCTCAGCAGGGATACAGAAAGCTCGATTGGCTTTTGCCAACTTGCGTCACTCACGGCGTCTGTTAATCAAGAACGAGTAAAGCTTACTCGATACTACCATATGGATGCGAAAAGTGGCCAGTCAGAGTAGAGGACATTCGTAGGTTATTAGTATTCGGTCATAGATATCTTCAAAGCATTGCTTCGGTCATAGATATCTTCAAAGCATTGCTCGTATATCTTGGGCAGACAGACAGATACAACGCAGAACTTCGTACGTAAGTACATCAGTTCAGGTTGCCATGCCCCATCAGCACAGAGACGCAACTGTCAGTTCAAATCCAACAGTGATAGAAATAATAAAAGTATTAGCAGTAATGGAGAAGATTAGGGAGCGAAGATATCATTCGAGAAGTATAATTCAGTAAGATAAATTTAGAAGGAGAAAGGTAGAGATTATGAGGAATGCAGAAGCTTAGAATTTCATAGAACACAAAGAGTGGATGTACCTGCGCCATTGCAAACGATTCGGAGCCATGTCATTCAAGGTCTCTAACCATCGGTGACTATCGTCTCGTGGACCCCAACCAGGTAGCCTACATCTACCAACAAGACTCAGTCCACCTGTCAGTGACTTCATGGATTTCTGCCATGTTTTGGTTTGGCCTCCCCTAGCTTTCTTCCAATCTACTCCTACACTGCAAAACATAGCTCGTCGCGGCAGTCGGTTGGGCAGCCGATTAATAAATACTATAGTCAGAGAACGGGTCCTAGGTAAGGATGGCAGATCAATAGATGAAGTAGTGAAACTTCATCAGTTGATAATTATTTACTACACCATTTATTGAATTTGATTTTCAACTAAAACCTCATTCCTAACCTATGTATTGCCTACTCAATGGTCCCTGAATACAAGAGCAATGTTTTGAAAACATCTATAATCGAGTACTAGTAACCTACAAATATTCTCACGTCTTAAAGATCATGTCTCAACCAAAATGTAGAACGGAGCGAACTTCTGCACAATATACCCATTCTTTGGTTAGTAGACGGATATCTCGCCTACGCCATAAGTGACACAAGTTGGCGAACACCAATCGAGCTTATTGTATCCGTGCTGAGATTTCGTCAGACCCCAGGCCATCAGCACTGATGACACTCCCAAGATTAGTTAAGCGATCGACTACTTTACCGCCTATCACTAGTTCAGGTGCCCATGCAAACGAATCTTAAAGCAAAGTTTTGAATTTCAAGAGGGAGAATCCCATCTTAAAACATGCCTGTGTTGTTGCTGAAGATTGCACTTTGTCGGCGTCTTTATCAAACAGAACTGTCATCTGTATATTCTAAGTTAGTAAGTAGACGTCCTAACAGGTTAACCCTAAAAGCGTGTCTGCTAAAACGATGAACATAAATGGTATGAGTAGAAAACCTCAATTGAAGTAATCGTTTCCGATGACAATTTGTCATAAACGTCCATAGAACCCTTCGGTCAGCAGGGTCAAACGCCCATAAAGGTCGAGAAATACAGCTATGGTTAGGAGTAGGTAGCTATGATCCAGAACCCAATAAAGAGCGAACTTTTGTTCTATTCAGGTTTGAAACCAGCCTGCCTTAGCAGGATTCGCTCTTCATTAGCTATAATTAAGTATCAAAGTATTATTAAAGCTATTAGTTAAACTGATTCGTCTGTGATTGTCACGAAATTACTTTAGTCCTTCTTTATGGTCTGGGACGATCAATCGCCGAGACTAGTCAGATGGGATGACCTCCAGTTCTCAGACCTTGGTCAAGCCAATTATTCTATCTGCTAAAACTGGAACATCACACCTAAAAACTTCAGGGGAAAATTCATATGGCTCTGCTGCATTCCCTCGTTTTAGATTATCTATATCCCATACACCCTCAGTACATAAGATTGCTGACTGAACGTCCCTGATGAAAGAACACTACGCACTAAAATCAAGTTTTAATGGTGAGGCGGAAGCGTGTCGCTTAATGACAAATGATATGATTTATCAATAAAACGGGCTAATAAATTTGAGGCTTGTCTCCTGAGTTACCACTAGTTCCGACATCAAAAAAAAACTAAGGCACGAACTTAACTTACCTTAAGTATATCTAGGCAGATTACACCTTGACTGTTAATATTGCAGTGATAGATACGAGTTTTAAAAATTACCTAAACGACTAACAGTAATGTATAATCAAGAGTACTTTAGGGGGTTTAAATGGGTACTCCATAGAAAAGTGGATGTCAAGGAAGAATATTCCACCTTCGTAAACGGATCCTTGAGGACCTAAGAGAGTTGACACCCATTCATAGAGATTATCTCCTCGTGGAAATGCACTGACGATAAAGTAACTGCTAAAATACATACCTGCAATTAGGCGGAGGATCTGACATGATGTCTGTTAATTCCTTCTGAATCCTTAAAGATACGTAATTTCACAAGAACAAAACAAACCTTTTCAAACTTGTAGACATAGATTTGGACTTGAAGTGTACACTCGAAGGGGGTTTTTGGCCATTACAGGATGAAGGTAAAGAGTCTAAAGTAGTTGAATGACTACTAAAGGCTCTGTCATGAGTACGTTTGCGCATTCCACGCCTTGAATCAGAGGAAGACATAAGACTACGTTACAATGAAGAAACCGTTGAAGTGGCGGGGAATCAACACATACACTATAACAAAGCTAGCAAACTTCAACTATTCCTTATTTACATCAAAGTTACCTAAATGACCAATCAATATACGTAAATCTTTTTAGAGAACTGAGGCGTTTTCATATAAAAGTTTCATATAACCTCATAGTGAAAGCGCTTTCGCCTGATGATCAAGTTATGAAGACCCTAGAAACATGCCTTCTACGAGATGATGGAAATAGATTTGTGTTTTTTTCGAATAAATAGATCACATTTTAGATGGGAAAAGTAAGTAACTCGGTGAACTAAAACGTAAAGACATTTCTGCAATATATTCTGGCATAAATAATCACGAATGGGTTCAAGTCATGATAAACAAACAAAAAAATTCGTCAAGAGGTGCTGGTTTTCATACCGATAATTCCGAAGCCAAAATCTGATTGCAGTGACGGGTCATTCGTCTTCCACAAATTAAAGGAGAGTGAGTCCGAAACGCCCGTTCAGTATGACATTGGGTTGGTGGTTAACTTACAAAAATTATATAGACTAAGAAGCCTAATGGACTCATAAGAAAACTGAACCGGATTTATAAAAGTAGTATTTAGATCTCCGAAAGAAAAGGTCTTTAGATTGGTCATAAACTGAAGAGGTTTGGAGATTTTGTCCGTAAAGACTTATCACTTGCAAACCGTATTAGAAGAGGAGCTGTCAGCAAAAAATTAATACGAAATCTAGATGCCGGTCAGAAAGACATTAGGACTGTAGATTATACGGTGGTGAGGCTGAGATGATTTCGGAGCCACTTCTGGTGCTGCATGAAGGGATAAAAACGGTCTTCGGGACTGATATACATATTCCTGGACCTGACTTAGCATGCAACTGGAGTTAGATATATAGATAGACTCAGTTAAGCCGGGCTTAAATGCCATCTCAGAAGAATGGTTGATTCAGTCTGTAGACAATAATGAACTAGACATAAAAAATTCTACATTGGATAAAGCCGATAAAAATCCAGAAAATCAAAAAGAAGGGCAACCTTGACAATATTATCCCTCTTATCGTTATCGACGACATATTCCAGGAAACTGGGACGTGAGAATTAATTACTTGTCTTTTCAAGTTCAAAGGACGGAAGCTGCTAGCTGGCTTGGTTTGTTGTAGTGCTTAATGTCACGTGAATAATGTCTCGCTAGACAAGCCCAATACTCCGTACTTACTTAGTCAATGTATAATTTGGCGGGGTGCTTCATTGCACCTCCCATAGACTGGGAAAATCTAAGAACTGAACTGTCAAAAAATGCTTTCCAAAAGAAATTGACGTGGTCATCATAGGTACCATAGTACAATATATGAAAGAAGCGACTAAGTATGATCCGAACTCTGAATCATCCTTACTAGTTCTCATATAAGCCCATTATGGGGATGACATCTCAAATCTTGATTATATACCGTCCCTAGGTAACAGTGACCATTCAGTTCTTGTCTTTGGTTTCCATGTCGTTATCAACGGCGACGAATCGGCTCGGGCTAGACCAAATTACTGGAGGCGAAATATATAAGAAATAATACATCTAGCAGCCTCAGTTAGACAGCTTGGGAGGAATTCAGAAATTTGTAGCTAAACATGACTGCACCGCAAATTCCTTTGAATATACAGAGGAACCCAGGAAAGCCACCCACCATGGCTCAGTGAGGAGGTTGGCACGATTCTGAGTATGATGGAAAGAATGTGAGAAATTTAGGACATTTGGAACAGACAAGAGGAAATCTCAAAATCTGAAAGCTCTAAATATTTGTGTATTTCGACTTTATGCATGTCTAGAAGAGTGTATTAAGATAGCCCAAAACTGTGGTGGTGTTTTGTTCTCTGAGCTGGTTGTTTTGGTTGTGGAGCTTTCATTGTTCTTCTGAACAACATCATCAGCACGAACTTCTATCTGAATTAAGGAGTACAGGGATGATGAATAGTGGGTTGTGATGTACGTCAAGTGGAGAGAAGTTGAATTAAGAAGCTGAATGTCGGTATATTGGAGCCAAAAGTCCAGGAAGAAGAGCAAGGTTTTTTAAAAAACACTGGGGGCCTGGCACAAGTGGAAGGTCTGCTTGAAGGATTCTGATCGTAGGTCTTCTATCTGAAGTTCGTGCTGATGATGTTGTTCAGAAGAACAATGAAAGCTCCACAACCAAAACAACCAGCTCAGAGAACAAAACACCACCACAATCATCCACCTGAGCTACAAGTTTTCTCCACCATCTCATAGCCCAAAACGCCTGGACACATACATCATCCATTGGACCAAGAGAAGATGCAACACATCAGCATTATGGAGAGATAGTAGTGCTGTATCATAGGTGGAAGACAACTTTGTTAATATTAGTATTTTTTCTCAAATAACTATGTGTTACATGTGGCGTTCCAGCTTACAGACAAGATTACACAAAAGGTTGAGTTAAGTAACTGTAAGTCTTCGGAGATATCAGGGCTATTTTTAAGGAGTTGGATGAGGTGCTGAAAAAGTAAAATGAAGAGAAAGGGTAAGGAGCCGAACAAAAATATTCTTGTTTAAAGCTTATTCATAACTTAACAGATACTTTTATGAATTGAAATATTAAAGATATGAATACTCAGATTTTTCTGTCTCAGCACACTAACTACACAAGTGAATTTATGTAGGTTAATGAAGACAAGTCGTTAGCATGAAAAACAACGGGCAAATAACTGCAAAAATAAAGGAAATTAAAAAGAACTAAATTGTTGGAAATTATATAAATCTACAGGATATAATAAGGAGGGAATAGTGATTTGACTCATTGCTGATGTTTCATTCATTGTTGTTTTTAACACCGCTGCTCAAGAAGTCATGAGTGAGCTCTTCTTCAACACAACTGTTTGCCTGTAATAGGATTTCTTGTTGGGAAGTGAAACCGTTTCAAGTTTGCGAACATGATTCGCAAACGTGGTTAAATTAGAAAAATAGCATCAGTATCATTGATTAGTTACATAATGCTATTTCGTCAGGAGCCGTAAGCAAACGAAATGTTCTACGCCACAGAAATGGGTAGATTGAGGTGACCGCCCCACTACCCCACCCTCCCTCATTTTATGATGTTAGGCTCTTACTTTTAGTGGTAGATTTTAAATGATGGCTTTTAGTCTAAGCTCTTTTTTTGTACACCTTATCAGAATATACTTTATTTACTAGTTCTACTTTACAAGCGATCCAGACAACTTTGGCTTGTGTATGTTGGACTAAGTATCCACGTAGCAATCACACTGCTATTCATTTACCTTATAGTATTAGTAGGTTTGAAAGATAGGCATCTGGTGAAAGAATATGAAGAAAAATTCATTAGTGACGCGATAAGTAAGTAAGATAACAGAATCTATGAATGTTAGGAATTTGAGAAGGAACTCTCAATGGTACAGGATAGTTTGACTTTCTTGTGATCGACAGTAGTTGAGCAGCATCTGCAGGTTTTGTAATCTATCTGTCTACAAGAAATAAAAACTAAATATGCTGTGAAAGATTACGAGATAATCATGCGACTTAAATACCAAGGAAACTCCGACCGTTAGGGATAGAATCATACTGTTAGCGCGAGTGGGGGAACCATGTATCAATAACTTGATGATACTGATCTGAATGGCAGAAGGGGTTCAGTATATTCATGGTCTATTAATAGTTTCCAACGTTAGTCTACATACTATGTGGGCCATAAAAAGTTGCCTCCGGATTCGCTGAGTTTCGGAAGTTTTGAAAAATCTCTTTATAAAAACATATTTATTCTGAAATAACAATGTGTTGCATGAGGCATACAAGTTTACAGGTAAGATCGAATTGTTACAAACGCTAGTACATTTACTTTAAAATGTTGTTCAGTTAGATTCACAATAACGGTCTGTTTCTGATAGCAAGTTTACACCAAGTCACTGAAAGGAACAGTTTGACGCAGACATGTTTTCGATAATTGAGTACAACTATGGTAGGTACATAGTAGAGTTATTGGGTGATGTGCACAATGCAGGAGTGAATTTGATAGAAAGCGTCGATTGGAAGTGTATTGGCACCATCTTTGTTTCACTATGGATAAGGTTCTGAGAAAGGACAAATGGGAAAGAAACAAAAAGGGAGCAACCAGATAATTGTTTAAATACAACCAGATCATTGCTTATCCGTTAAGAATGGACTAGGCAAAGCAACGGCAAGTCAGGATAAGATTTATGCTGACAACTAAAATCGAAGTAAACTGTAGTAATACGGCCTACAAATTAAGGAGTACAGGGATGATGAATAGTGGGTTGTGATGTACGTCAAGTGGATGGAAGTTGAATTAAGAAGCTGAATGTCGGTATATTGGAGCCAAAAGTCCAGGAAGAAGAGCAAGGTTTTTTAAAAAACACTGAGGGCCTGGCACAAGTGGAAGGTCTGCTTGAAGGATTCTGATCGTAGGTCTTGCTCGGCATTGAGAAACAGATGCAATAAGAAAGTTCGAAGTGACAGGAGACGCTTTCAGATTAAGCTAGCTGCCAAAATAGAGGCAAACCCCTTAGCATTAGTATGTTCAAAACCTACTAATCAGGGTTTGTGTTCTCTCGAAGGCCGGAATAGGGAAGACCTTATCAACCTAGAGATGGTTGAGGTCTTCAAACAAACTTCACTGAGTAGTTACACCAGCCATCCACATGTCCAGAGTACTACGCAAACCTAGTGCCAACCGACGCTTAGGGAATATCCGTATTACTCCTGACGTAGTACTACAGAAACTAAAATCCTTACGCCCAGGTAAGTCACCAGGTTGTGACAATATTCGCCCCATCGTCATGAAACAGTATGCAGAAGCCCTCTGTTCACCAATATGTGACCTGTTCACGCACTCACTGGAGTCGCACCAACTGCCTGCTCAACGAAAACAAGCTACTCTTTCTCCAATCTTCAGAGGAGGAGATAGAAGGGACCCAGCCTCTTACAGACCAGCAGCATTAATACCAATAAGATCGAGGGTAATGGAAGGGCTGTTGAACGAACAAAGAGGGAGTACATGGATAAGAATAAAATACTCCATGAAGCTCAACACGTGTTTCGGAAAGGCAGGTCGTGTGCATCTAATCTTCTCATTGCATGGGACAGTTGGACATCCTGTTTCGACCGTAAAATACCGGTGCACGTAATATTTCTCGACTTTGCAAAAGCCTTCGATACAGCACCTCGAAGGCTGCGGAAAAAGGATTCACTGACTCACTCGTTTCTTGGTTCAGAAACTACCGTGAGAATAGAAAGTTCCATGCCAAGATAAATGGAGTGTACACGAGTTGGCGCGTCTCAAAATCGGGAGTTTTACAGGGGACCATCTCAGGTCTACTACTCTTCTTGATACTGATCAACGGCTTGTCAGGCTTAGCTCACCGACACTGATCTACACAGACGATAGGAAGATCTGAAGGTCCATCGGAAGCGAAGTGGGTTCGGCTGAGCTGCAAAAGGACTTTGGGCAGTGGAAAACGGTTTAAAACTAAACCAGTCGAAATGTCAAGTTATATACATTCTCCACATGACTTAAACGGTTTACGCCCTCAATGAAAGACCAATCTCTAATGTCTCCTTAGAGCGCGATCTCGGTTTAATAACCACAGAAAACCGCCAATTGGTTTATACTAGCTCGCGAAAAAGATATTGAATTAGATATATTGATGTGCAATATATCACACTATGAAAGCTGAATCAAGAAACTACGGAAAAACCATAATAAGTTGTACATTCCCTCACAATCTTCTGGCCGAAAATGGGGACCTATTTTCAGACCTAGGAAGTGCTATATTTGCTTATTTTCATCTACCTAGTAACATTATATAACTGAAAATGTTTTTTAAAACCTTTATAAACAAAGGATTTTCCCATTCTCTGCACAAATATTTATTTCTCTTATAATGTTTCTTTAGTATAGCAACATTCCGATTTCCCTTTTTCAACATTTTGAAAACTCAAGGTCTTGATATGAACGATATATGTAGAAAGATTGATAAAGATAATGAGAGTGATCTAGACAGAAAGTCCAGAGAACTTGAAGAAAAGAAGCAAATAATTTCGTTAAGAAGAGATAGTTATATTAAAGAACGGGAAAAATTTGGATTTCCACCAAAGTATCCATTATTAGCGAAATTAGAAGATTTCGGAATCACATGCAGTCCCTTGACAGCATCTCCAACCAACGAACTTGAAAAGGCGCAAAGTATTGATAAAAGAAAGCCTCAAAATATGTCTCCAGAAGTAGCTTGTAACCTTTGTGTAGTAATTTGTTATTATCAGGAGATTAGTGCATTTAGAGAAGGTTCATACATGGCACCTTCAGAGACCCTCAATAAATCGCTACCGATGAACGAACGTTTTGTGGGTGATCAAGTGATGCGGGGAAAGTTTGTTGGTAAAATATGGATTTTGTAGTCATATAATCATTTAGCAAACTTGGGAAATAAAACTAGTCAACCCAGGCCGCTTTTAAGGAACTCAGTATTTCCACAGCTTGTAGGTTTTTGCAAAAATTATGCTATCGCGTTTTCCGAAATATTTAACAGGATGTGTTAAATACTAAATTTCTAGATGAGGATGCAAAAAAGGCCCTAAATCACTTGTTTACAACAAGTTACCAAGCGTAATTTTACTTGCAACACATTATATTACTTTTAAATCAGGGCATATGGAAACTACTCTGCCTGTGGAAAAAATGCGTACCGACGTTTATATCCAATAAAAAGTTTGGAGACTGTTGCTGACCCAGTTAAGCGCCTAATGAATGGAGACTCTTACTACCCTGCTACTGAATCATGGATAGTAAGTTTTCTCATCTTCCGTACCTGTTTCTAACATAACATAGTTGAGCCTTACCCATAATACCCCATGTTATTTCAGAAATTTGAATGCAATGAATAAACGAACTAACTGGATGGTCATCTAGGCTTTCGGATTTTGCGCAATGCAGCCGGTAGTAACTCTACATTTGTTTTCTGTAGTTCAAATGTACGTGTCTATGGTTGCGTTTAAACTCGGTTTTACTTGACTAATTCGATATCTAATACTGTTTTAATAGATTTTCCCCACTATGATGTGTTTTAAGTAAGTGATCCATTCCTGATCATGTAAACAGCAGGAGACCTTCATCGCTCATAGTAAATCATTTGTAACTAAAAGAAATTGTCCCCCGCATTTCATTTCTTCTCAACACCAAACTGCCTAAATGGTACTTATTTATCGAAAAACGATTTGACTATAATTAATCATTCCTTTACTAACTGGTTCAGTACCATAATATATAACTCCGAATATCTCTACTCTTTGCGTTTAATATTTATTCAAAGTCCATTGAAGTGTCACTAAGGATTGTAAACCTAAAACGACATCAAAATCGATGGGCATAAACGATAAATCGACAGTTTGCATCACGGACAAAAATATTGTTTCAGTCAACTTATAGAGAATGTTTGGTATATCCTTTAGCCAGTGAAATAAACAGATTGTTTTCATGAAATTCCTTTTCTTAGAGTGGAAGACAACTTGAAATAAAACAAACAGAGACTGTGATTAGTTTTATTAAAAAATGGTGAACTATTTTGACTATTTCTTAAAAATAATTATTTATTATTTAAATTTGCAGCCGGAACTATTTGAGCCAACTGAATATGATCGAAAACAGGCAAGATATCCCCATATAAACGAAAAACGACCATATGAATTGTAAGCAAGTTGTTACTTTATGTTCTAGAGAACGGTCAAACAGTCGTTAGCTTTATGATGTTTTGTCCCACTTTTATGATACTATATAAACTATTTTACACAGGTAGCTACCCTCTTTATGACGTTAAAAGCCTTTCAAGTAAACTATCTATCTCAAAATGTACGTATGATTGACAAAAATTATTAACAAACTAAAACTATCACTGAGTTTTTTTTTACCCTCCTTTAGGATTAAAATAGCCTACTAAAAAGATAAACGCTCTTATATTCTCATTTAACTGAAAAAATAGAAAACTGTGAGCTGTATGAACCCTATAATTAAGTAATCCTGCGAAATAAGTAGCAGTAGAGAGAAGAAATAATTTGTACATATAACAGCCCATTTAAACCAAATATCAAATTCTCATTGATTTAATTTTTTTAGAACCTTTCACCTACAAAGCTGAATTCAGCATTGTAAAGCTTAATTATCTAACTGTTCACTCAAAAAATACGAATTACAAATTGATATGTTTTGTGTTTATTGTACCAAGATAATACTTATCTTTAAATTGTTATAAGGACTATAAAAGTACACAAATTTTAGAGGGCACTACATAAAAATATTTTAACTGTAGGGGTATTCAATTTTTAGGTCTGTCCATTAAAAATTCAATTACGCTGCATTTTTTTACAATGATATAATGACAAAACTGCTAGTATTTTTAATTAGAGTTATGAAGACCAGAAGTTTTACATATTTGAAATCGTCAATCAATCATTGTTAGACAACCATTAGAAACCTGAAAGCACTGGACGGCCGTCTCGTCCTGGCATAGGACTCATTGGCAGTGCGCATCCATGACTTCTAGACCTCTCAGGATTCGAACCCAGGACGTTCGGTCTTGTGCGCGAACGCCTAACCTCTGGTGGTCTAACAGTGATTGAGTGATGATTTCAAATGTGTAAAACTGCTGGTCTTTTGAATTACGTATTACGTAATCAAAATAAAAATATTATTATTTATTATTTTTGTGTTCTGATTTCTATTTATTTGTTGAGATGGAAAACTATAAGTAATTCTGGAGCTATGAAAAATACCAGACTAATAGACTAGACCGGATGTCCAATCGAAACACATGAAAAACACTCATTCATGTTATACGTCGATGCACAATTCTCGATTATAGATTTAGAATGAAACAACAAATCAGAGAAGGGACTATGTAGTACAGTGTAACTGTACAATGTGAAACTCGGGGTAGAAATCAATATTCATAATACTTACAGTATTTCAACATTTAGAAACAGCTGAATGTCTAGTCACAGTCCTCATTACACGAACTAACACTTTTTATTTCATTACTTCAGTTGGAGATGTCTTAATGTTTAATGTTTTAGTTTAGTTTTCATATCGATTTCCATTATCTTATCTTGATAACTGTCTTACAGGATTATAAACGTTTTACGTATTCCTGGTTCTAATCAGATATCTGCTTTTATAAAGGTTGTCAACGAACAAAGGCAAAGTTGAAATCAAAAATTTGCATGAAATGAATTAAAGCAAAATCAGTTATTGATCACAGTATATAAAAAAAACTCGAAAACTTATTGAATTTTTGTAAATCAATCAATTTGTCTTACTTTTTACCAAGTTCACATCATAATCTAATAGAATATTTAGGAATAACTTCTTGAGATCATGACAGGAAGTTGAGATTTTTGAAATTAGTAAAATCTTACGCGATAGTATGTTATACAATATTACAGTCAAGACAATATTATACTAAAGGTTGTTGTGAAATAGAAAGCTTTAATTATTTGGATAGCTAACAGTTAAATATACTCGCTGCGTAAGAATCTTCAATTTTATCCATGTATTTTCTTTCTTTTCATCACAGTTGTTCTTATAATTTACGAATTAATCAAATTCCTGGTTACAGGTGAGTAGAATCTAAGTTATTTTCATGGAAAATTTTGTAGAGATTCTACTTGACACTGAGATAATACTATACTTTACAATGCTGTGAATTTATTTATTAAAAATCACATCCCAATTATTAGTATTCTTAGATGTTTTTCAATATTCCACAACCTAAATAATAAAGTATGCTTTGTTATAATCCGATACAAGATTATATTTTCGGTTAGATGATAGAGAAAAATAACTAAACTTTTGTCATGAAAGAGGATTTCAATGAATGACGAGATCAAATTTTCGATTGTAAAAATTGTCGGAATTCTAGTCGATACGAGCGAGTGATGGCTACTCATGGAAATGTATTAATAATGCAAGCTACAAATGCACAGCTACTAGACAGATGAATGGAGTTTTTCATAAGATAACATGCTCTTGTACAACATATGAACACAGAATACTCATGATAAAAACGCAACAGGCGATTGAAAGAAATCAGTTCACAGGTTACGCATTTTTTTCAAGTCAAGTCGACATGAAAAACGAAAGTAGCTTACTTAAATTTTGTTAACTGGTGTGTTAATTTTCATCAGATATATACTCTATGATTATAAATAACAACTTAAGTACCAATGATTGCATTACTTAGATTAGCTCTTTTCCACCTTTATATGCCTCAAACTGGAAAATTTGTGTATAATGGTTGGTTAGGTATATTCAAACTTCAATAACGTGTGTCTACAAATACAATCAACGTTAAAGTTAATTCAATGTTTATATCACGCGATTCAGTAGAATCATTCTTTCATAAAATAGTGCATTTTAAAAACTTGCGTTAGCTTATAACCCTTAGTTGACTAAATGTTGAATTGTGATATTTACATTCAACTCTTTGGAAAACTTCTTTTTTATATCAAAATGCATGTTGACATATCATCCAAAATAAATGTCAAGGTCACATAAAACAACTTATACATACAAATACTATTTTAAGTAATCTTAGTGTTTAGCTAATGCCTAAAAGGCTTTATTTACTTGTCGAATGCACATTATCTTGGTTAACCGACAAGCCCGCTGCACATGCACATCGCTGCTTTTTAGGCAACACAAGGACTTTCACTTTAGCCGTTTAGTGATCACCCCTGCCCCAATCGGGAACACACATGTTGTCCAGTTTGACCTGCACTTATGAATCAAAAAGATTCCTCCACCAATCCACTACCCTAAATCCCCTATCGGCATGGGCAGCAAGGCAGACTTACCCAGCAGCCGTCCTAACCGTCTGGCCTCCAACTGCCTTGGACTGATACAATCGACCGGAGCCCTCAGACCCCACATGAAGCTAAAGATCGAGTTTATCCCGCAAGGTCAGCCGGAACGTACACACTCCCGTGGGGAAGATGTCATGGACTCAACCAAGTGCAAACACTCGGCCAAGCTGGCTTAATCCTACCGAAGTGGACAGACATCATTGGCGTCCAGTACCCTTAAGCACCGGATCACAACTCGAGACCCTTGTTTACACAATACACCGAGATGCAGAGTGTTCGGGATAACCACATAGGGTCGGCGTCAATAGTCCAGGATCTCTACGGCCAGGGCCGCCTTCAATCATCCTGGAAAGCTACATCCCTTTCAAGGTATTTGCTACTACGGAACGATAGAGGACAAGTCCTCAAACCATTTTCGGAATTTACCTACTCTCGATGGACGGGATTCAGACTTAGAGGCGTTCAGTCCTACTCCTCCAGAGTGACTAACCGTATCCACAGCCTAGCGACAATGAACACGTACCATTATTCTGGACCATGCTAGGCACGGTATCCTAAGAGTTTGGAACGGCTTTTAGCCGCAGCGCTGTAAACAACGCCACGTTGCCTGGCAGGACCATGAGGAGGTAGCCGCCACCACAACCCCTCAGAGGGCTCCATTTATGCGCGTCACCTAATACTCGCTTCGGCGGTACATATACTAAAATTGGAACGATATCGAATACAGTTTTTGCAGTTACATTTTATTGTTTCGTTCCACACACTACTTTTTCTCTCGTTTCATAAATTAAATAGAGTTAAAATTAACGAAAGAAATTCATTAACATGAACAAACACGAGGCAAAATCAATTTACGAAATAATTTATCAAACAAAGATGTGAAAGCCTTCAAATAATAAATGATCAAAACCTCAGCGATGCATAAGTTTCCTATCCATTCTCCATTCGAACTATTTCGTTTTAGTTTATGAAATATTTGAGAAGTTTCTGGTGAAGATAAATGATCACTATTAAGTAGATGAAAAGCAATCTAGTAGCTGATTAATTAGCATCAACCTTTTGATAATTATGCTGGATATTGGTCAAATATGCATTTTAAAAGTTGGTAATTTATCAGCCAGTAATACCATACTCTACAGGAGCAAAGTAAACAGCTTAATGCAGATAAAAGTGGCTCAATGCGGCAAATAATGCTTAGCTCATTCTTGGGTCAGGCATTTACTGGAAAATACAATTCTCAATCGGACTGAATTGAATGTCATGTTCGAGGATTCCGAAAATCACTTTCTGAAGAACTTTGCAACCGTATCCTCTTTGGATTCAATGTTTGGGCAAAATCTACTCCGAGAGGAAAAATTTCTTCACTGAAGCGTTTACATCCTTTTAATTATACTGTCTGACTGATTTTAATTCACATTGAATATTTACATGGAGTGTATGAAAAATGATATTTGACAATTGAAGACATACATAGGTTATTGGTCTCTGAGGGATTTATTGTGTATGATAGAATCACTGGTTGAAGGATTTTGAGGTCATGATATTTTTTTAGCCTCAGTGATCCCGTATCATGTTTTGAAATTCCCTTCGATTGTCGTATAGATTATCATCATCAAACTCCATTCAGTTCTGAAAAGTAGTTTCAAGTTTATGCTAACATGATTGTTTTTAAGTCAGATTCCTTTGCTAGTTGATTGGATAACGTAATACCCTTACGAAATTTGCACATACATTTGAAGAAGACATACAATTCATTCATGTATAATAATGTTTACCAGTATAACTCATGTTTTTATTATCCTAAGCACATGTGAATTCACCATTTTAGTGGATCGTTTGGTACAAACGAAAAACGTGTTGATTCAGACAATCCATACTGCGAATACAAGCCACTAAATCTAGTCCGCCAGAATATTCCTCAAAAATATGTATTTGATCTGTAAGTCACTTGAAAATCATGTTTTTCAAGCACTGCTTAATTCACAGTTTTTTTGTTTCTAATTAAATACCATATTTGTTGTGTATTGATCATATAATCTGAGCTTAATAATCGCTATATATTCAAGTATAATTCATGTGTAGTAACGAGTTTTTCAAATAAAAACAAAGACTAACCACAAGGTCATTGTAAAAAATAGTTTGAGTAAGCATTACCTGATTTCTTAAATATCACCAGTCAGCTAAATACAATTAGCTGTAGCATTTGTTAAATTTTAGGTATTCTCGATCAACTAGTTTATTGGTACTTGAGTTAGAGAGTTATGAAAGAACATGTTGATTATAAAACTGACCAACCTGAGTTTCTTTTCACCTTTCAATTTACGGTGGTTTGGATTTCTGAATCGAGCTGTATGAACAGTTACTTAGCGAACATTTTTTATTCGTACGTAACGACATTCTGATAACTATTGTTTGCTACATATTAAATAAACAAATTATTGTAGATATAATTTATTTCATAATCAAAAAAGGCGCCTGAACTTAATGTTCACCCATTAGATTGTGACAACTGTATCCATTTTCTATTTTGTTATTGACTGATATTTTATATTTGCAAGAAATTGTATTATCCCGTTATTGATATTCAGGACTGAATTTCGATATGTTAAATAGATAGCCTTGTAACGGTAAATAAACGTCCAAAATAAGTAGTTCCATAAGTCTTCGATAGTTTTCAATAGTTTTACTGGACGCAACCTAGCTGAAGGCGCCCGGTCACTCAGTCGCACCAGATCAACATTGGGTACACCATGCTACACACCCCTTCGCAACAACTAGCCATTAAGCCACCGAATCCAAATTACTTTACTACTTATACTTATATGCTATTTTATATTTTGATTGGATTCGGTTTCGGGACTTTTTGAATTGTAAGGAACCATTTTCAGTCATCTGTTGTGATGATAACTTCTACAAATGGTATTAATTTAAAATATTTTTTTCTTGCGCATGAAATAAGAGTCACTAATAATAACAAAGCTTAAATCTATGTTCATTTACTTGAAAAAGTTGAACTATTAACATAGAGATCAATCTTTAGGTATCATTACGAAAATTTCACTTGATAATTTCAAATAAACTGAGTATTGGCTAGATTATGCATAATAAAAATAATACATTTTTTTAGTATCACAACGAGTAGACAAACTAATATTATTTTTATTCTGGGAATCAATTGCCATATAGTTTCAAACAAAGTAACTTCATAGTTTTCCTAAATGACTGTCCTTTTTACTGAAGATAAACAAACTATAACTATGTAGTCAAATGATGCGATAATGCAATACATTTTTTGATATAATTGTGAAGAAAATTATCTTTTAGGAATAAGTAATATTAGTCCAGAAGTGAAAAATATTGTTAGTAATTGGGAGACCATTATATCGATAAATATATGGAAATTAATATTTTCTCTAGTGAAGTGGTATTACATAAGTTGCCCACAGCCACCTAAAACTGACCATTGTTGAATATTTTAGACACTAATAGCCATATTGCCATATGATCAATAAAATCTGTCCAAAGTTACAGACTAGTATACATGACAAATGTTCCAGGGGTTAGGCGTTCGCGCGCAAGGCCGAAGGTCCCGGGTTCGAATCCTGTGAGGTGAAGGAGTCGTGAATGTGCACTGCTGATGAGTCCCATACCAGGACGAAACGGCTGTCCAGTGCTTCCAGGTTTCTGATGGTGGTCTAACAATGATTGATTGATGATTTCAAATGTGTAAAAACTAATATTACTAATGAAAAACTCATACTACGACAGTATAAAGTCATGGAATCCTAACTTTTGATCATTCGTACATGCAAATGATAATTTTTTTATATCTTGTTTCTAGCAATTTCAATATGCCAGGGTATACTGGCTATCAAAAGAAAGAAATTCGCAGCCAAGAATCAACATCATCAATATCAGTCTCTTGAGGAAAAATCAGTGGTACAAAATACCGGAAAAAGTTTTCGAAAAGTTTTGTCTAAGTAGATACAACGGTAAAAAAAACTCATAATCAATGTAAACTACATCTTATGATCATTTAAAGAACCTAATAATTTTGTTTGACTAAAACGTAACCTTCTGTGTAGAAAGCTTTAGTTTTCGTACTTACTATTAAAGGCATTCAGCAAAATAACAAGAAACTACTGAACAAAAATATCATGATAAATCTGATAGAAAATCCTTTTTTTTCTTACCAATAGAATGTGTTTTTTTATTTTGTGCTTAACATGTAAACCTTTATTACGTAATCTTCAATTAAAATGTGCAAAACTCACACGTTATGATTAGTTTCGATTCATATTAAACAATTTTTCCAAGTTCTCTGATACAAGTGTAATGACAACCCGGTATGCATTTTTTTTTAATATGCCAGTAACTTTGTTGACCGCACAATCATAGAACTTGAAAATGTTACAATGAAAGCAAACTGTGAAGACGGACACTAGCATAACCAATAAGAAACGATCCCATCCATAACCATTATTGAGAACTTATTCTATGAAAGCAACATGTATGAAATAACCAGTTTCCACATAAAATTTGATGTGCACAAATTTCTAGTCAACTATTACGTGGATATAGTGATCATGAAAGGAAGAACTCTATTTTCCGAGTTGTTAGCAGCTTTCATGTGTCTAGTTTTTCAAAACAAACCACTAGAAAGAAAATGATGTTAAACTGATTGAAAAAAAAAACATTGTTTTCGTCTAATTAGTCCGTTTGTACGGAATACGCTGTGTATATGGCTTTTCTGTGATGAAGAGAACACGTACGACCAGTTAAAGCTACTATATACAGCCGAAGGAATATTTATCTACACGTAAATCAAAATATATTCACTTCAACATTACAAATGTTCCGAAGGCAGTGTAAGTCAACGTTGATTTGTGAGCCTCCTACAGCTTCTTTTTATGCATAGATCAGAGAAAAAAGAGAAAGACATCATCATAGTTTGATGGCGATAAAGTCTAGATTGACTGCGATCATCACCGAATATTGATTACGAACCTGTCAATGAGAAGATAACTAAATTCATGGTAAATAATATATTTGCTGGTGATTTCGTGGTGTTGAAAGAACACCGAAGTTACACCAGGAAAGTGGTCTAATTAAAGAGCAGCTAGAGCAAAGAATGACAGAAACACAAACAGAAAGTTTCACGTAAAGAGGTGTTATAAACAAAAAGTACAGTTAAACAAACACTGATAGGATTCATTATAATAATGGATGTTTTTATTAAACCAATCGCTTTCTCTTCATAAAGGCGGACCCACTACAAACTAATGATCATTTCAAAATGTTTGAATCATTTATGTAGTTTGTTGGAAATCCTTTTTCAACTCCAAGCGACCAAAAAGGGAAAGAATTCGTGGGAAACTTCTATGTTTGAAAATTAAATCTAAACATTGAGGCAAACATTGAGCAAACAGTCAAACCATGGAAGATATTTCAAAGAGTGCCACCAAAATTCGATTTCGATCTATTCATATATATATGCACGCGAAATGAATTTAACTGCCTTTCATCAAAAATGAACTGCTATGTATTAGTTTGGTGATTTATTCTCTTATCGTGGTTCGGCAGGCAAAAAAATATTTACCATATTCAAGACAACTGACTTAATTTTCATGTGTTCGTCTACCCATCTCGGAGATCGAATGCAGATTTTTTGATAGTGTAGATCAACATAGGCGGTTAATTCGAATGCTTTAAGTTTGTTCGCGTTGGATGCGAGCCGTGTGACCTTCTAGCGTACGTTAAAGGCACACCTCACGTTTAATTACCAACATGAATCATCAGTTCGTGATACATTGGTTCTGTAGTTACTTAGGTAGTTGTACAAAACAAACATCACTTAACCAAAAGAGTAGGCTGCATTGCTCCCTCATGCACCTGTCAGAAGCATGAAACTGATTAATCCGCATCAGCCATCATTTACCTTGACGATTCTTCACAGGCTGTCCAATAATCAGTAATCTGTCATCTAACGTAATAACATTCCAGGCTAGTGGAAGATTTGCCGAGGGTTCAGTAGCGTTCAATAGTCCATGTAATATTATCAAATTCATCACTAACCTTTTGTGCAGATTGTTGAGTTTCATTGAAATAATGAACTGATCAGTGTTAAACCACCACTGAAAACTTGTAAACTCACAATAGTGATTTTGTCTTAGTATGGAACCTCTTGGCTGATTGGTCCATGCTTTCAATGATTATCAACCTAATTTTTTAACTTGGACGAAACTTTTAGATCTTCATTTTGGTTTCATTCAATCCTTTTTTATCAGAACATAGTTAATTCGTTGGGGTTTTTGTAAGCAATTCAGGGAAAACACGTTATATCAGTTGGTTAGGGTGTAACTGTGGTTGAGATGTGATAACGGCGGAAATCAGATCGTGTGTCTGTCTAAACATAAAATCTCTTTTAAGTTCATAGTCCCTGATTAATTATGCAACATTATTTTACTTTTTGGAGGTAAGTGATATCAAGATAATTCTTTTTGAAATTTTCTGCAGAATGTACTTCTTTGATGAAGACGAAAATTATGAGGCATAGAGTACATACAACTACAGTAATTCGTCATTTTTATATTTACTGGTCCTATTCTTCGCTTACTATCAGCCTTGTAGTGTGCAGACAATATCAGAATAAAGAGGGCAGTATAAACTAATGATGATATTATTCAATGTTTTAGTAACCCAAGATTTAACTTTAATTTGAACGTACGATTAAGTATGCTGTGAAAATAAATCACCCTACTTTTACCTTTATCGAGACTCTCATTACTGCTGCAACACATATGGTTTTACCTTCAACGTAATTTAGGGAATTAAAAGGAAGGTTTGTATACATTTACATACTTAATAGTTCGACTAAATTGGGGTAAGATTTCGAAAAACTAAAACTTCGACAAGATACAAAATAACAAAATTCATTAGCACAGTTTAAATAACGAGTGCGGTTTGTTGTTAGACGTTGGCACTTAAGTTAATAATGTCAGGCGACCCGTTGTGATGATTTTCTGTAACCTATGGATAACGATCAGTCACTAGAAAAATGCTGAACGGTAACTTTTAAAGGTATTATGGTTTGCCATCTGATGCATTGTATTTATATCATCGATAATGGTGTGGCTCAATGGGCCTCTTTTTGCTAACTTCCATGATATTACGGCGAATAAGTGAAAGTGTGATATGTGGTGGGTGTTTCAATAATGCTATTGTAAGTGCGATGATTAACCACGCCTACAGAATCTTCAAAGTCACTTCCACTCCCAAACCTGGATATAGGAAGTTGTTCTAATTTTCACAATGGGAATCTTTCATACTGCTAAATCATGTGGGGATCCTGCTGCATTTAAGGCACTCAATGAGTTCCTGAAGTTTAATGCGCGTCTCACGGAAGCGAAAACGAGCTTAGGATTTACTATCAAATGTATTCAGTCTAACAGATATCCTAAAGTATATTGGAAGTCATTGCGCCGGAATAGAATCTATCCTAATGCAAAAACTCTTGAAAGACATGCATCCAATGAAATTGATACCCTAAAAATGAATATCCGAGACTTGGAAAGGAATCTTCTCCTCAGACACAAACA